CACCACTATATTTTGCTCCCTTTTTGCCTGTTATGGCTATAAAGAACTTATAACTTATGATTTTTTCCTGAGCTACCATTAATAGTAGGTTGAGATAACCGAGTATTCATTTCATTGAAAACTAGCACGGCATGCTAAAAAAAATAAATTGTTACAGTTTGTTTCAATATGTAATGCCCTTTTAAAAATACCCCAAGTTTTATCACTAAGTCATAATACTTGCAAAATACTGCAAGTAAAAGATAAGTGCAGCCGTTTTTTGTAACCAAATCACTAGGGAATGAAACGACCTAAACATGTCATTCACTATCTCGCTCTCACATTCATTGTTCGGTGAGAGACATGGGAATCAACGGTTGAAAAATTAAAGACTGATTTTGCAAAAATTAAAAACCTTCTGGAAACATTTAAGTTAACTCTGAATATAAAAAAACTCATTACATTGCCTTCTCTATAACCATGACTAATAGACCAGCATTTAATCAAATTAAACTTGATAATATAGATGAGCCTTTGAAAGAAGTAAATGAAATTAAATATTTGGGGGTTGTTGTTGATAAGCACTTGAAGAGGGACCGACATGTGCTATATTTGAGCAAAAAAATTAGATGTTTCATCCATAAATTCTACGCTCTTCGTAACATACTGAACATTAAACTACTATTAATGATTTACAAAGCACCCGTGGTGTCCCTTTCGGTATATGGCATAACTGTGTGGAGTGGGATGTACGGTTCAAATCTTGGGCAGTTAAAAGTGGTGCAGCACCATATTGTAAGGATTACTCTAAAAAAACCTAGACTATATCCCACTATGCAACTTTATTCTCAAGAAATAAACGATATTAAAATCTTATATATCCTTGCAGTATGTAGTTTTGAACATGCAAGTAAGAAATTAAATACAAATTATGAGTCCCACAATGAGGTAGATTGATCTGCATATTTGTTTCTTTTCATTCTTTTTGATATAATTGTGATACGTTTTTTCTGTGATCTTAAGTTAAATCTACGACTTACAACAAATATATGAAATTTTCTTTCATTTGTCTATATCGTGTTTCATGTTTTGTTGAGTAAGTTTATACAAAAATATATATTGCACGATATTTATCAATTAATTACGGTTTTTTAATAGGCGCTCATATATTATAGAGAAACCTTTTTTTGGTTTTGTTAATGTATAGATATATATTATTTTTCTATTGGTAAATTTGAGTTTTGCTGAATAAATGTGGTAGAGTTCAGGGCGTACTGTTCTCTCGAACAACAACAGCATTAATTTAGTACTGCTCCTTGTGCTTAGTGCTACACTCGTGTCATAAGAAAGACTTCAAAGTTGCAATATCTGCAAAAATAGAAAACGTTTACATCATGTTGATTTTATCTGATTGATCAGACCTAGTTCCCACGTCACTCTGGCGTGTTATTTTTGGGACACCCTATATGAGAAGATTGAAGTATTTATCGGCATACACTTGCGACACGTTACGTTTTCAAAATTATTATTCATCCTGCACTTCCTAATCGAAAACGATTTAAGGCAAAAAATGATTGTATGGAGGTATTTATTTCTTACAAAAAATTGTAAACAACTTTATATACGAGAGATAGAATATGAACACGTGATACAATCGGTATTTAACGTGCATTAATATCACTTTCTTGCAAGTTTTTGTACATGATAGTGTGCTACTTATTATGTATTTACGTTTAGTATAGACGAGGCGAAAAAATTCGTGGGACAAAATATCCGTCGCGATTTTTGAATGAATCAAGAGGTTGCCGGTAGGTAATTCGCTGCAAAGCGTAAACAATTACAAACTACAAAAAACCATCTTTTTGGCCCGTACAAAGTGTTTTTAGTTTCTTCGGATCATTGTGAATAAAAATAGTTTCACTCTAAAAGGGCCGTTTTTGGAGTTATAAGCGATTGAATATCTGAAAAACCCTAAAAATGTTCTCCCATGTTACTCAAACTTCAAACATTCTCCTACTTACATTAGCGCCTCGCGTTGCTAACAATTAAGTAATAATACTTTAAGATATACTAATCATAAAATACTCCTCGTAGTCTTAAAGGAAAAGGTGCGAAATTTAACTAGACGATAATTTTAACCCGCGTTTTAGAGCATTGAAGATCGATATTTTTAAGGTTTCTCAGAACTTTAATCTTTTCTAACATGCAAACGTTTAACTTTAGAGAAAAATTGCTAATGACTTGACGACAACAAAATGAGTAAATCTTGACAATACGAGCTCAAAGCTAACACAGAAGTAGATTACTATGCTTAACTTACACGAGTCTGCTGTGAAGACATTCAGTCCAGGAAGGTCGGAAGCAGGCCCAATATCCAACGTGAAAATACTCCACTTGCCTTTTATGAACAACCACAACACAATTACCACAAAATCACTCACACCACCATCGCGACACGACGACACCGCGGAAAATCGCCGACAAAGACTTCCCGGCACGCGACGTGTGGAACAGAAGCGGAGCGTTGTACGGAGGGCTCGACCGACCACGCTCCCCAAACGCCAACCGACAACTGAAGTGAGACGCGTTAGCCCGCAGCATGTACTACGCCGGTGCCGCTATTCGTTCTGCGTCGTCATTGGTTGGAATTCAATCCGACGTTTTCCACCACCCAATCTCTCTTCGGCATTTACGTAAGCATTGGAACATCAGAAAAAACGTATCGCGAGTTGATCACAAAAAAAGAAAAGAAACAAATAGACAGATCATTCTACCTCAAAGCAACTTAAACGCATAAATTGTTCACGATTTTCCCAACAGATCGTTTTGAACGAAACATTACACTTTTTATTATTTTCAATGTTCCTGATATTAGAAGGAATCAAATTGTAAAATTTAGGTGCAAGATATAATTATGGGACACATAATTTTTATTTAATTTCTTATTTGCTACATACTGCACGGATATATTTATAAGATTTTAATATTGTTAATTTCTTGCATAGGGGGATATAATCCATGTTTTTTCATAATAATCCTTACGATATGGTTCTGCACCACTTTTAACTGCCCCAGATTTGAACCGTACATCCCACCCCACAAAAATATGCCATATACCAAAAGGGGTACCAAGGTACAAGTGCTTTGTAAATCATCAATATTAGTTTATCTAAATCTATTTTTTTTCTCAAGTACAGCACATGCTGGTCCCCACTTCAAGTGCTGATCAACAACAACCCCCAACTATTTAATTTCGTTTACTTCTTTCAAAAGCTAATCTATATTATCAAGCTTAATTTGATTAAATGCTGGTCTATTAGCCATTGTTATCGAGAAGGCAATATAATGAGTTTTTTTATATTCAAAGTTAATTTAAATGTGTCTAGAAGGTTTTGAAGGATTCAAATGACGTTTCGGTCTTTTTGTTATTTTAAACAATAACAATAGGAAACCTTGTTTTTGGCTCGTACGACTGGCGATCTATTTTTTTTTTCTCAAGTACAGCACATGCTGGTCCCACTTCAAGTGCTGATTAACAAAAACCACCAAATATTTAATTTCATTTACTCCTTTCAAAGGCTCATCTATATTATCAGGCATAATTTGATTAAATGCTGGTCTATTAGCCATTGTTATGGAGAAGTCAATATAATGAGTTTTTTATATTCAAAGTTAATTTAAATGTGTCTAGAAGGTTTTTAAGCGTTATAATGACGTTTTGGTCTTTTTGTTATTTTAAACAATATCAATACGAATCCTTGTTTTTGGCTCGTACGAGTTGCGATCTATTTTTTTCTTCTGAAGTACAGCACATGCTGGTCCCACTTCAAGTGCTGATCAACAACAACCCCTAAATATTTAATTTGATTTACTTCTTTCAAATACTCATCTATATTATCAGTCGTAATTTGATTTACTGCTGGTCTATTAGCCGTTGTTATGGAGAAGGCAATATAATGAGTTTTTTATATTCAAAGTTAATTTAAATGTGTCTAGGTTTTTGAGCGTTTCAGGTCTTTTTGTTATTTTAAACAATAACAATAGGAAACCTTGTTTTTGGCTCGTACGACTTGCGATAATTTTTTTGAAGTACATTTTTCTGTAAGAAACGCTTCATTAATATGCTAAAGCTGACAACACTGCTAATTCTACTCAATCCAAAGAATAGTTTTAATTTACTCTTGGCTTTGTCTAAGTATCGTATATTGTGAAACTAACACCTCTAAGTCAAATCATATAAGTATAAGAAAGCTGAAACATTTTTTAACGGAAAGGTGCTACAGCTTCAGTTCACCGAAAATATTGGTCAATTATACATTGACACAGCTCCCTTCAGAATAAAACAATCAGATAAATAATCAAATACGCTACAACACGGTTAGAAATTATTCGGCTGTCATCAAGTGTCGTTCCAAGACTCTGTAATAATTTAGTACATTCTAAAAATAGTTTCACAGTATTCCAGTAAACTAAAATACGTCTGAAGCCCCAGCCAGTCCACGAAAAGCGAAAGATAAGAAATAATGTGGATTATGGCCAGTCATATTGTCCTACTACTGGAATGAATGAATTTTCCTAGCACCCCAATAACCAGCCACTTCCATTTTGCCGCCATTTTTCACGAGACTGAAGTAAAATTCCACATTTCCACTTCATTCGGGAATGGATACCAAGAAAAAAATAAATTCTGTATATATAGTCAAGGTCGGTAAAGGAGACAGTCTTAGCTGTGAGAAATGTTGGAAAATTACTTGAAATATGTTAACAGTATGGCAGTTCAAAGTCGACAGTGCAGTGCCAGATTAAAGGGAAAAAAATACTTACTTGTTCATTTTTATCTAGCTTGTATGTGGTTTTGATAAAAATATCTATTATAATGGACTCAGTATGAGTGTCACCCTATTTTCTTTTATAAAAAGGCGAAATTCGATATACAATCTCTACTCGTAATCGTCTAGGTTTTGAGGACTACACTAAATAAATAATAGTAATTAAAACATTTATTTTCTTATAAAATACATCGTGACTCTTAAACTATTAACATTTAGTCGCACTTTTTTTTCTTAAAAATGCTAATAAAGATCCTTGGAGCAATTTCCATGTAAAACATTTGATTTTTGAGAAAATATGATACAGATATTTTCATCTTCCCACCTTAAATTTCGAAATTTGCACATTCTAGAAAACAAATTTCGAAAGGGAAAAATGGTGAACTTGACAGTGACCTACAAGCTTCAAGGTCAAGTCTTTATATACGAATGAAGAGATGAAAATTTTACGTCCGCAAATCACCTTGGCCACGCCCTCGATCATTGTTTTCAAGGTCAAAGCAAGGCATCAAAAACAATTTTATCTAGCAAGAATGTTCAACACCATAGTTGTGAGGTTTGTAGGGATCACTCAAAGGTAGCCTTAGCCTCGACCTTGACTTTCAACGACATCGCAAAACTTCTAAAGGAAATCTCTCGTTTTTTTTACTGGTGAATGTGACCTTGACTACAAAAAACACTTAAGCTTCTAGGGTTTCAAGAGGAAACAACGATGGTGATCTCAACAGTGACCTTGACTACAACCTTCAAGGTCAAGTGTTCATATCGGAAGCGAAAAATGGAAGTTTACGTCCGAACATCATCTTAGCCTTGACCTCGAACATTGTTCTCAAGGTCAAATCAAAACATCAAAAAGAAATTGCTCTAGCAAGAATGTTTAACAACATAGTTGTGAGGTTTGTAGGGATCACTCAAAGATAGCCTTAGCCACGACCTTGACTTTCAACGACATCGCAAAATTTCTAAAGGAAATCTCTCGTTTTTTCACTGGTGAATGTGACCTTGACTACAAAAAACACTTAAGCTTCTAGGGTTTCAAGAGGAAACAACGATGGTGATCTCAACAGTGACCTTGACTACAACCTTCAAGATCAAGTGTTCATATCGGAAGCGAAAAATGGAAGTTTACGTCCGAACATCATCTTAGCCTTGACCTCGAACATTGTTCTCAAGGTCAAATCAAGGCATCAAAAAGAAATTGCTCTAGCAAGAATGTTTAACAACATAGTTGTGAGGTTTGTGGCGATCACTCAAATGTAGCCTTAGCCACGACCTTGACTTTCAACGACATCGCAAAATTTCTAAAGGAAATCTCTCGTTTTTTTACTGGTGAATGTGACCTTGACTACAAAAAACACTTAAGCTTCTAGGGTTTCAAGAGGAAACAACGATGGTGATCTCAACAGTGACCTTGACTACAACCTTCAAGATCAAGTGTTCATATCGGAAGCGAAAAATGGAAGTTTACGTCCGAACATCATTTTAGCCTTGACCTCGAACATTGTTCTCAAGGTCAAATCAAGGCATCAAAGAGAAATTGCTCTAGCAAGAATGGTTAACAACATAGTTGTGAGGTTTATGGCGATCACTCAAATGTAGCCTTAGCCACGACCTTCACTTTCAACAATAACGCAAAATTTCTAAAGGAAATCTCTCGTTTTTTTACTGGTGAATGTGACCTTGACTACAAAAAACACTTAAGCTTCTAGGGTTTCAAGAGGAAACAACGATGGTGATCTCAACAGTGACCTTGACTACAACCTTCAAGAGCAAGTGTTCATATCGGAAGCGAAAAATGGAAGTTTACGTCCGAACATCATCTTAGCCTTGACCTCGAACATTGTTCTCAAGGTCAAATCAAGGCATCAAAGAGAACTTGCTCTAGCAAGAATGGTTAACAACATAGTTGTGAGGTTTATGGCGATCACTCAAATGTAGCCTTAGCCACGACCTTGACTTTCAACGACATCGCAAAATTTCTAAAGGAAATCTCTCGTTTTTTTTACTGGTGAATGTGACCTTGACTACAAAAACACTTAAGCTTCTAGGGTTTCAAGAGGAAACAACGATGGTGATCTCAACAGTGACCTTGACTACAACCTTCAAGGTCAAGTGTTCATATCGGAAGCGAAAAATGGAAGTTTACGTCCGAACATCATCTTAGCCTTGACCTCGAACATTGTTCTCAATCAATCAAAACATCAAAAAGAAATTGCTCTAGCAAGAATGTTTAACAACATAGTTGTGAGGTTTGTAGGGATCACTCAAAGATAGCCTTAGCCACGACCTTGACTTTCAACGACATCGCAAAATTTCTAAAGGAAATCTCTCGTTTTTTCACTGGTGAATGTGACCTTGACTACAAAAAACACTTAAGCTTCTAGGGTTTCAAGAGGAAACAACGATGGTGATCTCAACAGTGACCTTGACTACAACCTTCAAGATCAAGTGTTCATATCGGAAGCGAAAAATGGAAGTTTACGTCCGAACATCATTTTAGCCTTGACCTCGAACATTGTTCTCAAGGTCAAATCAAGGCATCAAAGAGAAATTGCTCTAGCAAGAATGGTTAACAACATAGTTGTGAGGTTTGTGGCGATCACTCAAATGTAGCCTTAGCCACGACCTTGACTTTCAACGACATCGCAAAATTTCTAAAGGAAATCTCTCGTTTTTTTTTACTGGTGAATGTGACCTTGACTACAAAAAGCTTTTAAGCTTGACACACAAAAGTTCTAGGGTTTCAAGAGGAAACAACAATGGTGATCTCAACAGTGACCTTGAATAAAACCTCCAAGATCGTGTGTTCATATCGGAATCGAAATTTTCAAGTCCGAACATCGTCTTAGCTTTCTCCTCCAACATTGTTTTCAAGGTCAAATCAAGGCATCAAAAAGAATTTGCTCTAACAGAAATGTTCGACAGCACAGTTGTGAGGTTTGTGGGGATCACCCAAAGGTGGCCGTGGCCACGACCTTGATATTCATAAGTTCCAAAGAAAACCTCATTTTTATAATAGAAATTTGACTTTGAGGCTAAGATCATATTCAAGGTCAATGCAAAACTCTCACAAGAAACCTCTCACTTTTATACTGGAAATAGAATAAGCAGGAAATTTTACGCCCGAATATGACCTTGACTTAAAAAAATATTCAAGCTTGACACGACCCTGACTTTGAGGTCAAGGTCATATTCGGATGTTAAATTTTCTGCTTTTTTCAATTCCTGTATAAAAACGAGTGGTTTCTATTGAACAATTTTACTTGACCTTGAAGGACATGATCAAGGGTGATCCCATAAATTTCACAACTGTGCTGTCGAACTTGTTTTGCTAGAGCAAATTGTTTTAGATGTCTTGATTTGACCGTCAAATGCCATTAAAAAGCAATGTTCAAGGTCATGGTCAAAATAATGTACGGAAGTAAAATGTGGTCCTTTTTTCTATTAAAAAGGGGATGTTGTATTTGAAATACTGACTTAACATTGAAGCTTGCAGTCAAGTTAATTGTCTAGATCACCATCATTTCTCTCACTCGAAACCTTGTTTGAAAGTTTTTTCTAGAATGTGCAAATATTTAGGAGAAATTAAAATGGGACACAAGGCAGAGGTATCATGAGTTTTTTTATTATGGTATGTAAGTATTTTGGTGACTTTTTTCGAACACAACTCTCTTGCTTACATTTCTATTTCTAGTCAACATAACACAATTTTTTGACAATATTCGCTGACTATTCATCCTATTTATTAAATGTTTATGACTTCTTGAAAAAACACCAAAGAAGTTAAATGTCTTCACTTAAAATAGATCAGTATCAATATTTTCTCTGAAGACCAGCAACGGATTTGTAAGATTTTTAGGGAAATAAAGTAATGAATAAAATTTTATTCTAAAATACTGTTTCACGTCTATCAAAATATCCAACATTGTATTATGGAGAACATATAAAACATTAAAATACAAAAAGTAACATTCAGCAATGTCAGTCTGTTTTGGTTTAAAATATACGTCAGTATTGTTGTCAATAAAAGTTAATTAAAGAGATGTTGAAAAAAGGCACTTGTATGTGACAGAAAATCCATCTATTTTTGAGTCAACTCTATTCGAAAAACATTGAAAAGGTCAAATCGCATGAAACTTGGATCCACTGTTAGCGCGGGCAATATTTTCGCCTCTGATGGACAACATACTGATTCTGTGTTTTGCATAATCTCATTCAAAAATTAACTATATTTTCATAATGATTCCAGTTTTGTAAATAGCAACTAAAAAAATAATTCTAACATTAAATATCTCGCACTCCACGCTTTTTCACTATAACTGAGCTTTTTGTGAATATATTAATTTTCATAGTGACCTTAATCCAAATTAATTAGTCATATTTGATTGTAGTAACACAAACTGTCCTATTCTTGATAATTACTATTTTCTGGGAAATATGTGTAGAACGTGGAGGAGATTACATAGAAAAATGATTAACTGGATATTAAAAAAGAATTCCGGTTTATACTTGATCCACCCTCGTATGTTTGCTATTAAAGTGTGTTTTTTAGTTTTGTAATCTATAATTCATTTCATATTGTTCTCCGAGGGTAGAAAATGGCATATTTCGCATTTAGAAATTTTCGTAATCACCTTTTTTGTTCCAAATGTCAAAAGGGGAGTTTAACCAGAGCGAAAAAAAAAAACAGTTTTTGGAACTGCAACGCAAATTCCGACCTGACAAATAGGTGCGATTTTGAATAAAATTGAGCAAAAAATCCGAATCAGATGCAAATATACTGTCCAGAGTATGCGCAATAAAAGGCTTTGGTTGAAAAATTAATACTACTGCTCTATAATGGGAGACTGTTTCTTTTGGTTCGTTTCATACAAGGCCTTTCTAATTTCTAAGCCAAGAGATTTTCCTAGTGGTGGGGGTACAGCATTTCCTACTTGTCGATGTTTATCTAGGATGGTGCCGAAGAATTTGAATTTGTCAGGAAAGCCTTGAGATCTGGCACACTCCCTTACGCTCACTACCCTGTTTTGTTCTGGATGCAGCACTGGAAGAAATTTATAGTTCATTTCACAAACATATGAAGTAATGGACAAAAGTATATAGACAAATATGAATATTTACCTAAATACCTTTAGAAAACGAATTCATACTTCAATGTTAAATAAACAAATGAGTTATTAGTAGAAAAACTAAATTCCTTGTTTTTTACATTATCTGCAATAAACACAATACAAGTCTGAATATAAGCACTTTTTTATGAGGGACAAAAATATGTAGACAAATTCTTTTCAACATTAGTTTAGTACAGTTTCGTGTCAGAAGAGGATTAATTTGTGTTTATCAAGTATTGTGGGATAAGTTGAGTGATTTTAAGACCATGCCGCGTGGTCCAGAAATTTCTTTCGATGTGAAATCTAAGATCATCGAGTTATACAAAGATGGTCAACGTCAAGTCGACATTGCCAAAAATTTGAAGCTGAAGCGTAAAGCAGTTTGGGCAATATTGAACAAATATAAACAAAAAGGTATCATGGAAGCCTCTAAGAGTAGGCCTAGAAAACTAAATGCTAGATCAGTTAGTGATTGTCAGTGCTTCAACGAAAACTATAAGTAGACAACTAAATGATTTGAAGCTATTTGCACGTCGCTCGAGTAAGAAGCCGCTAATCTCGAGGAAAAACCGTGAGGCCGATTGCAATTTGCACGATTGCATCTTGATTGGATCATCTGTGACTGGAAGAGGGTATGTTTCAGTGACGAATCCAAGTTCAATATATTTGGATCAGATGGTGTTCATTACGTTCGACGTCCTAGTGGACAAAGATTGAACCCCAAGTACACTTTTCCCACTGTCAAACATGGAGGCGGGTCTGTTATGGTTTGGGGGTGCTATTCGGGGTTTGGGATGGGCAATTTACATAGAATAGATGGCATTGTGGATAAGTTTGCATACACAGACATACTAAAGCATGTCATGTTACGCTATATGGAAGACAAAATACCTTTAAGATCAATCTTCCAGCAAGATAATGACCCGAAGCACACTTCAAATCTCGCAAAGAAATTCTTTCTGGATGAAAAAATACCAGTTCTCAAATGGCCTTCACAGTCTCCCGATATAAACTTCGTTGAAAATCTATGAGAATACTTAGATAAGCAAATACGAGATAAAAATTATTCAAACAATGATGAACTTTTTGCCGCCTTAGAGCAAAAATGAAGACAGATTGATGAATCTTATATCAAGAAACTTCTACAATCTTATGCCGAGACGATGCCAGGCGGTGACTGATAATAATGGTTATGCTACAAAATATTAACACAAACATGGTTGGTTTTCTATAATTCAATGAACTTTGGTTCGTTTTTCTATAATTGTTCTGCTTTGTCTATGTATTTTTGCCCTTCATAGTTCCAGTTTTTCAATTATTTTTTTATTGAATGGGGTCTAATGAATTTATTTATGTATAAGTGAGTATTATGCTATACAGAATTATGTATACAGGTTGCTGTATTAATAAAACAAGTTAAAAAAAAATACAGGACAATATTAATTTGTCTGTATACTTTTGTCCATAACTGTACATCATGCATGTCAAACAAATTTGCCAGTAAAATCCTGTCAACTTTTGCATGTAAAGTAAGAAAAAGGGCTTGGATGCAGTTTTAACAGTCATTTCCGCCACAATAGCCAACTTTTGTTTGTTGAAGATTTATTTAGCATTAGTGCTACAATGTAAATTATGTATACATGATGCTTATGACGAAAAAATTAACTAGCCGAATCATTTAAATATCTGGGTATATATGTGGATAGTAAACTACTGTTTCACGAGCATTATGAATACATTTTCAAAAATAAAAAAGATAAATTACTTCTATAGAGTTTCCCATAATCTAAGCATGTATTCCAAAAAATTGTGTATAGCACTATAATTCTTCCCCATTGTTTATATTGTTGCAAACAATTTGTTTACATCATATGGAAACATATTATCAATATTACAAATTCTACAAAATAAAGCTATGAGAATCATTTTAAATAAAAACAAATATGTCGTCATACAAAATAAACTTTCAGACAAAAGGCCGATTTGTTCCGGCGTGCCTCAGGGATCCATATTAGGTCCACTTTTATTCCTTATATACACCTTTGACATTTCTAACACCCTTCAACATTGTTCCAGCCAATCATATGCTGATGATATGCAGGTTTTTCATAATTTCTGTCCGAACAACTACCATTTAGCTAACAACCTTATCAATCAAGATCTGCAATACTTATGCACATATGCTGCAAAACATAATTTACGTCTAAACGCATCGAAATCGACAGCTATACTTTTTTGCTCCAAGAAAAAACGTACTTTCCTCAAATCAAAGTTAAATTTATCACTAAATAATAGTATCCTAATATTTTCCCATTCTGCAAAAATTTAGGTTTGTACTTGGATGAAGATTTCAGATTTCAGGAGCATGTTGGCTATGTGTGTAAGTCATGTTATTTTAGACTCAGGCTTCTATATGCAAGTAAAACTGTTTTAAATAGAAAAATTAAGAAAATGTTATGCGAGTCACTCATACTCAGTAAAATCGCTTACTGCAACATAGTTTATTATCCCTGTCTGGATGAAATCACAAAATACAGACTGCAAAAAATTCAAAACTCATGTAGTCGTTACATAAACAATTTAAGAAGGTACGATCATGTTTCTCACTCAAAAAAATTTAAAAATTTTTAAGGTGAAATTAAAAAATCACTTTATGAATACTCAAAATGCATAGTGATGTAATTTAATAGACAAGAATGTAAAATTACAGAAAAAAAATCAATAAAAATGTAAAAACGAATAATTATACAAAATTGATATTGTATCATTAATGGTGAATAAATCAACAAACGAACAAAACTCGGGTTAACACACAAACTATACTACAATTATTTAAAACTGTAATGACTCATACGCGTGATCAACACGTGATCAGAGCTCGATCCCTCCTTCCTTCCAGTACAGCCGTATAGCGTACGACATATGTCGTTTCTGTGGCTTTGCGGTGGTCAACAGCACAGACAGAGATGGAAATAATGGCTGATTGGTCTCCGCCGGTAGAACCAATGAAATCAAAGACGCGCCTCGACCGGCAGACTCATAGGCGTCGGCAACGCATTGGAACGTGTTTCGTTGAGCGATCGCATATTGTGTGTTTTTATAAGAATTGTTGTGTGATTGTTATTGTTGTGGTTTCTGTGGTTACTGTTTTGGTTATACTTAACCATGGAGAGTACAAATGGCACGAGTGGAAGTACTGAAAGCCAGGGAACAAGTAGACGGCTTCGTAAAGCACTGAAGAGGGACGCGAAAGAAATCGTGCTCAACGTATTCAATTATCTGAACAGAACTATGTCGCAGGGAGATGCACTCGCGCGTTGTAAAGTATGACAGGCGTTCCAGAGTGGACCATTCGCAGGGTGGTGCATGAAAAGAAGAAAACTGGAGCTACTACTGATCCAAAGTTTAATTTGAAGGGACGAAATGCCGTTAAATTGGATGACGATAGCAAAATGGCGTTAAGGCGAACCGTACATTCATTCTTCTTTAGGAAAATGAAATTATACCCCAAATGAGCGTCGAGGTAATGAGGAAATCCCTGCACGAAATTAATTTTCGTTACGAAACGCGTAATCGGAAGTCAGTATTGATAGAGAGACCTGAAATAGTCGCCTGGCATTGAAAATACCTACGCGAAATGATTGAATATAGGCGACAAAGCAGAAAAATCTATTATTTGGACGAGACATGGGTAAATGCAGGTCACACAGTTAAAAAAACCTGGATAGACAAAAACGTAGTGAGTAACCGACAAGCAAGCATTGAAGGTTTGTCAACAGGTCTTCGTGGACCGTCAGGGAAAGGTCAAAGATTCATCGTAACTCATATTGGTAGCGATAGTGGCTTTTTAGAAGAGTGTGACTTGATTTTCGTCTCTAAGAAAAGAGGTGATTAGCATGACGAAATGAATGCCAGCTGCTTCGAGAGCTGGTTTCAAGGGGTGATTCAGCGAGTTGAGCCCAACTCTGTGATCGTCATGGATAATGCTTCCTACCATAGTCGTCGAGCCCAACGTGTACCGCGAAAAAGGAATCCCGTTTGACGATTCATGTGTGAAAGCGAATTGTATGAAAAAATTAAACAGCACAAACCTGCGAACATTAGTTACGTGACTGATGAGATGGCCCGTCAATGTGGTGTCACTGTGCTGCGGTTACCGCCCTACCACTGTGAACTGAACTAAATAGAGCTCATCTGGGCTCAAGTGAAGGGTTATATTGCGCGCCATAACACAACCTTCAAATTACCAGACGTTAAGGTTTTACTTGAGACTTCCATACAGCTAGTAACGCCCGAAGCTTGGCAGAATGCTATCCGTCATGTTGTGAAGGAAGAAACAAAAATGTGGCAGCTTGACCACCACATCGATACCATCATAGAGCCAGTTATAGTCAATTTCAACGAGGAAAGCGATAGCGACAGTTTATTACTGTCAGATGTAAGTGGAAGCGATGATGAATAAAGGTAATTCCCAAATTTTTGACTTACAATATGTTTCAAACCACTCTTTATTAAGCATGTGACAAATCTAGTTCACCCATGTTAAACATTCATACCCCGCCTATGAACAGCCGACTACTGGTAGTTAAGTGATGTTCACGTGAACATCGATGAGTCATTACAGTTTTAGATAGTTATAGTATAGACAGTCGCGTGGTCAGTTGCTCACTGTGTAAACATGACCAACGATACAGAATTAGGAGTATCAACTTACCTCTCCCTTGTTTACCCATCGGCTCCGGATTCGTCACCGTGGTACCGAAGAATCCATCCCACTCCAATCTTCCGTACAATCCGGCCCACTGGTTATGCCTGTCAGCTGTGTGCGGCAAACACCATGGAATCAAGGAACAGCTCGATGCAGACTGCTTGTCCATTAAAGAGCACGATTTGCCTGTAGAGCATCGGCATACGCCACGAGGCGTCTCGCCTTTCTCCTGCTTCTTCGTCCTGGAATGACAGCGCGGACATTTGAATATGGGATTATGCGTCAAAGGGTGAAACTTTTTGGGAAAACTTCACAGGGGTGCTGGCAGCCCAAAGCTGAATTTGAGTGAGAAAAGTGAGAATTCCAAAAAAAAGTAATGAGGAAAAAGTGATAAATGGTACATTTATACGTTAAAAAAGTGAGTTAATTTTCGAGAAATTGAATATCATAATGTCAAATTTAAACGGATCATATAAATAAAAATATTTGGGCGCATACATAGACAGTAAATTAAAATTTGAAGGGGAACGATGAATATATATTTCAAAAATATCAAAAATGATTAATCACTTTTATCAGGGTGTTGATCAAACTTGTAGGGGTTATTCAGTGTAACAGTAGAAAACATTTGAGTATAGGGACCCATATCCGGTGCTTGTGTGTTGTTAGCTTTGAAAACGATAACAGAGATTGTTTTTTGTAACTGCATTCCATATCGCCTTAGTCGTGCTATCGTATTTGTGAAGTTTGCAAGAATTTACCAAAAATTAATTGTTGCTAATGGAAAACTTTACCAATCAAGAATTGGCGAATATACAAAAAAAATTGAAGAAGAGGTTCTTTGGCGAGTTGCCGACGAACCATCAAGTAGCACACGTCACATTGCTGAGGATATGAATACGAGCAACGCTTCCGTCTGGCGGGTGTTACACGAGCAACAGCTTTTTCCTTACCACTTACAGAAACTTCAAGGGACACTGTGAAGGTACTTTGTCATTAACTACGAACCAGGTATACACCTGGCGAATGCTGTGTATTCGCAGCCCACCAAATATGTAATCTCTTTTGAAGTTTATTGAGGTAAACAGATGAGTAGCACGTAACTTTTTTTTGTGACATATGTACTGTTGGTAATAACAAATCTGGTAAAGGGCCAAATTAAGGACTGGTGTTTGGTATCACCAATGAAAATTTGTTTAAACACAGAATTTTGGCAATCAAATGTATACTGCTAGACTGGGAATTTATACATATGTACAGAGCAGTATCATCTGAAGGGGCGTGGTGAGATGACTATGTTTCTGTTTAGTGTTTGCTGACCAAATATGACAGTGATATTATGCTAATATTTTTTTTGTTTCACAGTGTCAACATCCTTCGAGGAGACAGTTGGAGTGAAGATCGTCATTTATTTTATGGATACCAAATTAATTGTCAATGACATAAGGAGTTTGTTTCCTAGTTTGAAGAAACAATTAGTGTTTTATGTGTTTTTTTTTGTTGAGGACAATTTTGTTTGCCTTTACCCATTAACAGTGTGTGCAAAACTATTTTTGATTCACATATCAGAGTGATTATATTTGTATTCCAGTTAGTCCTCTAATTACAGATGTATTTTTTGTTATTTTAGTATTTATGTTTTCGCAATAAATATACATGATCAATTAACAAGAGATAGTGCTTGCATGATATTGGACTGATCAGGTTCATAATATAGAGAAAAATCCAGATGAGTAGAATACTTCTATGTATGTACAATTTATTGTAATGGAGACTTTGTTCTATTATTGCTGGGACTGTTCAATAAATATTTTTTTAATTATACATTTTTTTATTATCCTGAAATTCATTACTAGCCAAACTGATGAAAGAAATACTTCCTTTATTGAGGATGTGTTATGCATCTATGATCATCGAACTGCCTCAATATCGGGACTGTCATCAGTCAGATTTCGTAATGTAAACAAATGAAATCGCCGACACATTCCTGACATTCCTGATATGCGTTTTCGGCATACTTTCAATATTTTTAGTTCCACCAGATTTCCAGCCAAGAAAAGTGGCGCTGGTTATAGTCCAAGAAATATCTTCACATCTGCTCAGAAAAATATTCGGATTCGGACTTTTTGCATGTTATTCGATAAAGCCTCCTAGTAACAAATCTACATGTTGTCAGGCTCCAAATTGCGTCTCTAATTGTTTGTACAACTTTTTCAAATAAATTCCAAAAATTAATGTTTTCGCTTCATCAAAGGTAGTATTCGTTTTTTTTTTGATACTCCGAAACAAAACGATGTTTGACAATGTTTGTTAAACGCTGATTTTGTACGAGATGGGAAAGTACAAAAAATTGATTTTGCGATACCGAAAAACGATCTGAAAAAACGAAAATGTTAATGTCGCCATGCTTCATAAATAACCATTAACACAGTTGCGATACCTTTTAGGAGATACTGTTAATAAAAATCTTTGTATTTAATTGATATACAAGCCGACGCTCAATGCATATTCAGCGTGCACGAGAGATATTTCATCTCTCTCGCGTTCACATAGACATAGACTATACATTGAGCGCGCATTCAATTCATAATTACTATGCAAATATTTACAATAACTGTACTCCCTAAAATGCTCTGGGGGTTTTATTATTGGTTGGTTGAAGCATGTGTGAGATTTGGCAACATCAAAATATTCATATCATTCATTTCATATTGTTTTTAGGGTAGCAAATGACATATTTTGAGTTTTTACCCTGCTTATACCTGTATATATCAAGTCTAGAGAAAAGTTCTAAAGCTCATTTTTTCAGAATGTCCTAAAAACCGCAAAATACTATAAACAAAGCGAACAAATCAATTTTTGGAATCTGTTTAATAACAATTTTTGGAGCAATTTTGGGCCTAGTCACATGCAGATTCTTTAACAGAGGTCCTTGAATCAGATTATGCAAAAATCGGAATCCGAAGATTTTTCCGAGCAGATGTTTCGATATTATCTGGACTATTATCCGAGTTGTGTGACTTGATTACCAGTGCATTGACGCAAGCGAGTGGGGAGGGGCCACTTGTCAATGTCAAGGCTGGTCCGCCAGTCCACGCAACACAAAAGCCACAAAACACTCTTTCATCTGCTACCTTGACGTTAAACATATGATTTTGTTATTGTGTTTAATGTTGATATTGTCGCCATTGCTACATTGGCAATCCTGGCCGCGCATGCGCTTCAAATGCTCATTTTCTTAAGTTAAGTTAAGTCTTGCATGAACCCACCTTAAAATGATGTGGTAATCGTCATCTTTCGTGATTTCGACTATATACTTTTGTATGTTCTCTACTATTTTGAGTTACAAAAATTATTTTAAATATTTTATTTTTGTTAACGGTCGATAATAAATTTTAGCTTTCAGTTTATTTCTATTATAAAAAACAAATAATTATCTTCCGACTCTTATAAGCGCCAGCTGGCACACAGAAAACCGATTCGTAGAAGAGCCACAAAAATCTTCTAATTAAAAAAACATTTTACGAAAATACCTCAATAACTGATTTTACGAAGTTATACTACCAAAATAACGAAAAAAAGGTATCAGTCAACGTGTTAAACAAATAGAGTAGATACTTACAGATAAAGATAGTGCAACTTTTGCGTGTATGTGCCATCCCTCAGCCGCACCTCGATATTCGGCAACGCCCTCCAGTCAGCCCCCGGGAAAGTGGGGATGTGCTCGATCCTCGCGGTGACCAGTGGCGACATCTCCTTGCAAATGTGATCGCGCAACACCGCCGTGTCGTCTTGTTCGCGCAACGTCCGCTGGAAATGCGAGGCGGCGCTGTACACGTACGGCGTCTCTGTACGACTGAAACCGTTCGCGATTGCCGGTAAGTCGGACATTGCGTCTCGAACGTTGATGGTGCGGTAGGGCGCCGTTTCCGTCCATTTGCAGCCTGAAAGTAAAAGTTGAATTTTGCATGCATAAACAAATTTCGACATACACCATTCACCCTCTAATAAAATTTGCAGAACAGTCCAAATGGAGCATAAAAAACGCAGGCCAAAGCATATTAGAGTGATAAAGCATAGCAATTACAACCACAAGAATATGCAAACTATACAGGGTGACTTTGAAGTTGAGTCATTAATTTTCAGATAATGATGTAGAAGGAAGATAAACCAAAATATGTGTGTAAAACTAAAAATAAAATAAAAAAAATGTTACCTTGTTTTATAAAGTATCCTCCCGACAAGTATTTCAGTGCGGACCTGTATTTGATCGTGAGGTCCCCTGTGAGGTCTTAAGTCACCTGATTCACGAGCCCGTTGTACTACATTAACAAAGGCACGAGGGGTTGGTTGCACTCGATTGGGAAACCGATCCGCATAAACAAGTGCCATTTTTTATTTCGTTTGAGCCACGCAACAGACACTATTCACACGCGTTACCGATTGACACTGACTGTATGTATAACTGAACTGAATAAAATAATTGTAAAAACATCGTTCCAAATTCTTTCGCTTTTTTGTTTTCGATGCGATGAACCGATAAGGCGGATTATATCCGTTGTTGCCAAACACGAGCACATGATATTATTATTGAGACAGGGCGGTACTCAAACTTCCAAAGGGCTATAACTTTGTTACTTTAATTTTACCAGAAAAATGGTAAAGGAAAAAAACATTTCTTTTGATCAGATCTACTCACTGTTAAAATAAATGACTCAACTTCGAAGTTTACCATATAAATATTGAAGGATTTCTGTCTAAAAAAGATGTGGCTTTACATTACTTGATGTCAGTGGAGCCAGTCTTAAAGAAATTGGAATTGAAGGCTATAAAATGGTAAAAGCAGACTCAATTTCCAGGCATACAGGTTGTATATTATTATATACAGGATGCGCTATCTTTTATGTCGGTATGTAAACATGAAATAACTTTGAAAACAATAAAACTAATTTCTATATATCGGGTATTTTTATTAAATATGGTCCTTTACAATTTACTGGGTCTAGTTTTCGAATACAACATCTATCAAGTAGTTACCTTTATTGGCCAAAACAAAAGTGCCCGTTTTGCTACGTTTTCCATTACTTTTTCGATCATCTCTGGTGGTTTAGCGGCGATTGCGGTACAAATGTTTGCCTTGAGTTCTTCAGTGGTCTGGGGCTTGCTGGCGTATACTTGACTTTTCAAATAACACCACAAGAAGTCCGGTGGGGTAAAATCTGGAGACCCGGGTGGCCAGTCAATGTCACCTCTTTTTGACATCAGACGCCCAGGGAATTTTCATTGCAGAAACTGGATTGTTTCAGTTGCAGTGTGGCATGGCGCACCGTCTTGTTGAAACCGGTAACCATCAAGACCTTTTTCACGCATTTGTGTGCATACATCATGAGCCAACATCCACCGATATCGATTTCCATCGACTGTTTCGTTTTCGTTGAACAAAAATGGCCCAATGACGGTTTTGGCGCAAACGCCGGCCCAAACAGTCACAAGGCATTTTTTTTTGCATATTAACGCCGTCAGAGAGCGTGGAATAGGCCTCGTCGGTCATCACAATTTGCTTCCAAAAATCAGGTTCAGTATCAACCATACGAGCGACTGTTTGGGCGTATTCCAAGCGACGTGGACGGCCAGTTGGCAATATTTTTTGTGTTAACTGCACCTTATAAGGAAACAAATGCAACGTGGTTCCACTGTTGCCAAAATGCTGAGCGCGGTGACGATACCACACTTTTGGGTTCTGGACAATGCTGTCTGACCGCTTCAACCAATTCATTGGTGCGTCTTGGTCGTTGATGAACGGTATGTAGACGATCTCCCACTGTCTCGTACTCAACAAAAAATTCGAAAACTAACGATGTAAAGTGTTGTCAGACGGTGCCTGTTTGCCATGAGATTTTCGACGATATGCACGTTGCGTCAACACAACTGAACGACGATATTTCAACGTAAATTGTGACTATTGCGGCGCGTCGTTTCGTTGTAAAGCGATTCACGACTAAAACTGTAGTAAATTGACGTTTCAGAAACACGTATAACCAAATCACTAGGTTGGTAAATATCAAAGTCATTCGATGTTTCAATACCGACATAAAAGATGCCGCACCCGGTATTTTATGTGATTTTGAAACTAGAGTACATGAAATTGTAGCTGTTGAGTACCAATGGTGGTGTATCAATGTTAAATGAAATGTTAAGCGCAATTTAATATAATTTAAACATGTACTTCAGATCTCCTGGAAATATAAACAGATTTGTAGAATTTTTCAAAAATATCTGTGAGAAACATTTTTATTGAAAATGCATCACGGTGCATTTGGGTGATTTTAATAAAAATTTTGATAATCAAGACTTCTGCGCAAAGAAATTTAAACAGGTTTTTATGGACTATGGCAAAAAGTCTATGATCGCACCAGAACTACAAATCAATCAAGAACAATTATTATATACTAAGTGACATAAATCCGAACACCCAGTTTAAATGGTTTTATTTTAATAAAATTTTGTATAAGTACTTAATGAAGCATAATAAGTAAATGATAAAAATTTCAAAATGATTGCACTGCTTTAAAGCCCTTTGACCTTTAATAATGTGTGGATGCACCCTGATGTGCTACGCATTCTCCAACGCGCCTAGGCATGCTTCTGATCAGGTGGTCAATGTCCTCCTGTGGTATCTCATTCCAGGCAACCACCAACTCCTCTCGAAGTGCTTCTAGAGACTGAGGAGGACGTTGCAAATTGAGCAATCTCCTACCCATCATATCCCACACGTGCTCAATTGGGGATAAGTCGGGAGATCTTGGTGGCCATGGTAACAATGTGACACATTATGTTGAAAGAAGTCTATTGTGACTCTTGCAACATGTGGTCGGGCATTAAAAGATGGGGTTCTAGAACTTCGTGGATATAACGCTGCGCGTTCATGTTACCTCTGATGAAGATTAAAGGTGACCTGGAATCATAAGCTATAGCACCCCAAACCATAACTCCAACAGTGTGATGAACATGTCTTTCAACAAAAAACTGTGGATTCCTCCTTTCACCACGTCGCCTTCTAACCCTGGCACGACCATCGTGCTTGCCTAAACAAAATCGAGACTCGTCACTAAAGACAATACTGTTCCATTTCTGATCCCAGAGTGATCGTTGTCTGCACCACTCAAGGTCATTACGTCGGTGTTCTCGAGTTAAAGGGAGGACCCAGTGTGGCCAGTATGAAAACAAGCCAAAACTTCTCATTCGTCGGTAAACACTTCGCATGCCAATAGGTCTTCCGTGTTCTGCAAACCATTCATTTGCAATGGACCTGGTAGTGGAGAAACGGCCCCTTAAGGCCAATAATCTTAGGCGGCGATCTTCACGGTCTGTTGTTCTACGGCGGCGTCCAGTGCCCCTTGCTCTTTGCGTACGGCCTTCTCGAAGCCATGCCTGACAACACCTAACCACAGTGTCTACACTTCTTTGCACTCTAACTGCAATTGCCCGAAAAGAAAGTCCAGCTTCCCGAAGTCCCACTATACGGCCCCTATCAAACTCACTAAGTTGACGAAATCGTACAGGTCTCCGTACTCTAGGCATCGTAACCGATCGTAAAGGATGTCAAGAACCAAAATCCGCCAACGTTGATTCTTTACTGCGGCTGAAATATTCATTTTTAGAGCGTTAGTGAATTAAAAAAAAGCAGTATAAACACCGGAATGTCCAACTGATAAGGCTGAAAATTTTTTCACTTGTTATTTACAGTAAGATAAATACATTCACCAACTTTTATTAAAATAAAACCATTTAAACTGGGTGTTCGGATTTATATGTCACTTAGTATATGTTGAGTGTCCCTTAAATTTTTAGATTGATTCGTGAACTGACTGCAGATACACTAATTTGAACAGAAGGTGGTAGACGATCTCCGACTGTTGACCGCGGTGGTACCACCTGACGGATATGGTATACGTGACCAGAATGAGTTCATGTTACATACACAAGTGATCATCGTAACCGAACCAACTTTTATTAAAATAAAACCATTTAAACTGGGTGTTTAGTATAGATTTGATAATAACGAACAAAATTTAATTACAAAAATTATGCATACTCCTATGATCAGTGATCATTCATGGATATGTTTTGAAGTTGAAAGTATTGCAACAAGAATTAATAGTACTGTTGGCGACATCTGTTGGGGACAGCGCCAGACTCTCCTTCGGTGGCGACATCTGTTGAGGACCGCGAGACTCTCCTTCGGTGGTGGCGACATCTGTTGAGGACCGCGAGACTCTCCTTCGGTGGTGGCGACATCTGTTGAGGACCATGCCAGGGACTTTACTTCGAGATCTACGCGAAGTGACCTCGAAGATTCTGGACTGCCGCTATGTGGCTCACCGGAACGTTCTCGAATGAACGAGTCCCTGCGAGGCGGACTATATAACTCGATGGCCGGGAGAGGAAAGCATAGTAGAGTATACGAGCCCCTTCCCACTTCAGTTGGCCCACTTCAAGATTTGTACCAAAATATGCCTTTATAAACTAAACATGACGAAACTATTTGCTTCTAAAACAATTTATTTTCTCAAAAACAGTTTAGATACACTCTAGTCGTAAAAAATACATATTTGAAACCACTTAGACCTATAACTAATAGAACATCTGAACAAATAAACAATGTGCGAATAAATGCGCGAAGTTAACAAAGCAACAATTGAAAGATTACCAATGGGTAACATCACCTTTATTTTTTATTACAGCTGAAATTCTTTGGGGCATAGTGTTAACCAAGTTTTGGCAAAAATTTGGTGTAAAACAATCCCATATTTCTTGAAGCTTTTGTCTCAGTTCGGTGATTGTACGAACAGGATGTTGTCGTAGAACCTTTTTCATCTCGTGCCACAAAGTTTCAATAGGTGACAGATCTGGACTGCTAGAAACCCGTTTCAAAAGTGGTATATTATTTTCTTCCATCCATTTTAGAACCTTTTTTGAGGTATGGCACGCTGCACCATCTTGTTGAAACACAAAATCTTGGCCGGATGTCAAACATTCTTCCATCACTGGTAAAAGCGATTCTTCTAAAATTGCCAAATATTTGTTTGTATCCACATCTTCATCAATAAAATGAAGTTTTCCTACTCCTTTTGATGACATACTGCCCCAGACCAAAATGGATGCGGGAAATTTCAATTTTCTCTTCAGACAGTCAACATGGAATGCTTCATTTTTTTTGCGAATAACTCTACTGCGACTGTCACCAACACAAACTTCAAATCGGGCCTCATCACTCCGTTTTATTGCACACCTCGAAATTATCCTTCCAACAGCGTCACTTCACAGAGCACTTAATTGTAAATAATTGGCACGCCTGTTTTTCACGATTATTCTTCTTAATGCTCTTCGGTCGGCATTTGTGATATTACTTTTTTTCATTACATCGTGGCTTAATATTAACTGAACCAGTTACGTTATATCTTCTAACAATATTTCTCACACTGTACCGCGAAGTCTAACAAAGTTGCAATTTCTGAGGTTGATTTCCCAGAATTAAAAAATTTAATTATCAAAAACAGGAATTTTCTCACTAATAACCTTTCCTCTACCCATTTTGAAAACCTTAACTACCCAAAACTATTTTAAACGTATTCTGACAGCTGTGATTAATAAAAACAATTGTCATGGCTTTTATTTTTCACAGCCACCTATGCGTTATAGACTTATTTTGCATTGAAATGAAAATAGGTTGATATGCTGTAATTGCAACATGTGTTATTTTTATGCTGCAAATTTGATTAGGGAGTGATAAAGTTGGTGTTTTCTACTATATATTATCAAAATATTCTTTGTTAACATTTTAAACCTATAACACCCTGCTCCATTTTTATTATTTGTATTTGATAAGAAAAAAAACTAAGATTTCAATAGTTGGGCCAACTGAAGTGGGAAGGGGCTCGTAGTTCAGTGAATAGCGCGACATAATAATTCGTAAATAAATAGTCAGGGATAAATAGTGGTGTACATAAATGTTCTATCTAGTCAAGTTAAATAAATTAGTGCATTTCTTTTTGCGGAATCCCCTGTTTTAATCCACACCCAAAAGAACCCAGAAAAACGCCACAGTATATTTGATGCCAACAAAATGGAAGAAATTACTAATATTAACTATGTAAATTTACGAGAAGCTTTTTTACTGCAAGATATGACTGAAATGTTTGTTGATGTTGATAGCTACTATGCAAGTCTATTGGATCATGTTGAAGTTTGCATGAAAGAAGCTACAGTCAAGACAACAACTTATAAAAGGAAAAATCCAACACATTGGTTCCCACAGACGTCAAATGATTCTAAATTAAAAAGATACATTTATAAAAAGTTTACGATTACTGGAAGTGAAAATGATTCTCTAGAATACACAAGATCAAGAAACCAATCTGTAGCAGTTCTACGAGATGAAGAGAAACAAATACTACAGTACCAAGATTGATGACTGTAAAAATAATAGCAAACAGACTTGGAAAACGTTGAAAAACATTGTTTCTCCTAATACGTTATCTAAAAATAATAGCAGATCAAATGAATGCCTATTTCATAGAAAGTATCAACGACATTGCAAAATAAATAAATCTTCAACAAACTCACCGTTGAAATATCGAACCCCTTCCACAGCAAACGACAACTGGCAACCCCTCTTGTTGAACACGTGAAGCGGCTCAGGATACAGAGGAAGTTGATAACCGGGAGCTGCTGCCATCAGGATGAACCGTCTTCTCGTCTGCGGAACGCCGTAATGTCCCGCTTGGACTATGCCGAACGTCACTTGATACCCGATCGCTGACAGACAGCGCAGGGTCAGCTTCAGCACCATGCTTCGCTTGAAGGACACGAAGTTTCGCACGTTTTCAAGGATCACGTACTTGGGTCTGAAACACGTATTAAGCTGTATACGATTGATCGGATGGGCGCATCCGCAATAGCGGAAATATTTCGTAAAAAACAACTTGAGAGAAAGAAAAACTGGACGCAGGTGGAATTGGAACCTGCATCTCCTCCGTTCCGTGGACAAACTGTTTTGAATCATCTGCCTGAAATTGAGCCTGCACTGGAAGATTTGTAAGTGAAAAAGCATACGAACGTTTTGGCGGATTTTTTACCGAGGCCGAAACTAAAGCGAAACTCTGACTTTCATCTCTATATTCATATTTTTTATCACTGTTCTGCACCGTAAGTTCTCTTACCTCAAATATTCACAGTAACTAAGAAACGAGACGACTAACGAGTTCTTGAACAACGAGTAAGCTCCCGCATTAAATCTGTTCATTCCAGAGAATCCTTGGCACGGTGGTCCTCCGACTAACATCTCGACGTCTCCTTTTTCAGGGAGTCCGATGTCTTGACCTTCGCCGTTCAACAGTTTTCTCATCAGTTCGTTGCAGTCGCTTGTGAACACTTTGCAGTCCGGGTAATTCAGGCGGAAAGCGTTCGCTGCCGGAATTTCTTTCTCGATCTATAGATGTATTCAGAAATTTGGAAACTCAAAAATTAGTTTTTTGGCAAATAATAATAAGCGGTTTTTATTAGGGCGAAATTTAGACAAAGGCTATTCTTCCACTTAATCCTTTTAAAACAGTAAAATTTACATACAGGGTGTCCCAGAAGTCGACATCAAGCCGAAACCGGGTGATAGGCAAAGTCATAACAGCTATCAGAAAAATATTTAAAAAAATTTTATGTATGTGTTTAGAAAATTATATGTCTTTGAAAAAGATATAGAAATTTCACACCCTACGGCAGTCTGCCAACTCCTGTTACTACAAATATTAACTTTTTTTGGATTTTTTTTTTACAATGTAATGATGAATAATGCATCTTCAAACTGGTGTCTCAACCTTACTGCCAACTTTTCTCGTTCAGGAAAAATTGCATTTAATAACGATTCCAAAATGGTATAACACTTAGAAGATTACTCGTTAACTTATGCACAATTTTTATTTGAAGAAAAACTGATGAAAATTTTTCAAAATTTACTAATTAAACAGCGATTATGAAAACGCACAAGGACCCTTAAGGATAACTGTTTGCACAACAGTGGGCGTCAAAATGCTGCTGATGATGATTTACCTTTACAGCAAATGCTCAAACTGTTTTCCTTCAGCCGCAATACACGCTCGACATCTTCTTAAAAAGATCGGGTTATTAAATGAGCGAATCCACGGTTATTAACAAACTCAGCTGCTTCCAATAGTCTTTGCCGTAGCTCAGCTACATTTTGAATCGGCTTGAAATACACTTTTTCTTTTACAGTTCCCCAGTAAAAAAAATCTAACGGATTCAAATCTGGTGACCGGGCTGGCCACGGTATTGTACCAGACCGCCCTATCCATCTGCCTGGAAAGTTTTGATCGAGATACTCTCTCAGTGAGAGTGCATAGTGCGCTGGGCAGCCATCATGCTGAAACCATATGTCCCTGTAAATACTCAGTGGCACGTCCACCAATAAATTTTGTACATGATTTTTTGGAAAATCCAAATAAACTTCAGCAGTCAAAGTCTCTGGGAACTCAAACGGACCGATTATTTTACCATTTAAAATTCCTGTCCAATGGTTTATCTTGAAGCGATATTGAGATTTATCTTCTCTCATCAAATGTGGGTTTGCTACGTGCCACTCGTGTAAGTTATGCAGGTTCATGTACCCATGTTTCTTAAATGTGGTCTCGTCCGACCATAAAATTTTTTCAAAGAACTGTGGATCTTTCCTGTGTCTTTCTAACATTGTGCGAGAAAAAGCAACTCGGGGCTCATAATCCCGGGGCAGGAGAGGTTGAACACGCTGTATGTGGTATGGATGAAGCACATCACTTACTTGCTATTGCACACTTTGATACCGATCAGTACTCCTTCGTTTACTGCGCATCTTTACATGTTCGTGCTTGTTGATTTCGTACTGTTACTAATTTTGGATTCGTGAACTGGACTGTTGATCGCTTGTGATATGGATTTGGACTGTTTAATTGCTCTTCAAAACAACATTTGCTTTCCTTAGACTATCTTCGATAGTGTGATTGTGCAGTGCCGCTATGTCCGTGTACACCGTACAAGAATATGCTAACATGCACCTCATTTATGGGGAATTCAGATGCAACGCTAGTGCTGCAGCGAGACTTTACTGTGAGAGGTACCCGAATGCAGCTTGTCATCCAGATCATCGAGTGTTCACAAATGTGCACCGCTTACTGTTCTCAGAGGGCCAACTACCAAACCAATCACACGGTGAGGGAAGATCTTTCCTTCCTTACGAAGACGTGGTGCTAGGAGCTGTCGAAGAAGACCCGAGTACTTCAGTGCGTGCAATAGAACTAAAAACAGGTGTGCCCAAAAGTACAGCCCATAGAATCTTGCAAAAAAACGTGCTCCATCCATACCACGTACAGCGTGTTCAAGCTCTTCTGCCCCGGGATTATGAGCCCCGAGTTGCTTTTTGTCGCACAATGTTAGAAAGACACAGGGAAGATCCACGGTTCTTTGAAAAAATTTTATGGTCAGATGAGACCACATTTAAGAAAGATGGGTACATGAACCTGCATAACTTACACGAGTGGCACGTAGCAAACCCACATTTGATGAGAGAAGATAAATCTCAATATCGCTTCAAGATAAACCATTGGACAGGCATTTTAAATGGTAAAATAATCGGTCCGTTTGAGTTCCCAGAGACTTTGACTGGTGAGGTTTATTTAGGTTTTTTGCAAAATCATTTAGAAAATTTATTGGAGGACGTGCCACTGAGTATTTACAGGGACATGCGGTTTCAGCATGATGGCTGCCCAGCGCACTATGCACTCTCAGTGAGAGAGTATCTCGCTCAAAACTTTCCAGGCAGATGGATAGGGCGGTCTGGTATAATACCGTGGCCAGCCCGGTCACCAGATTTGAATCCGTTAGATTTTTTTACTGGGGAACTGCAAAAGAAAAAGTGTATTTCAAGCCGATTCAAAATGTAGCTGAGCTACGGCAAAGACTATTGGAAGCAGCTAAGTTTGTTAATAACCGTGGATTCGTTCGTTTAATAACCCGATCTTTTTTAAGAAGATGTCGAGCGTGTATTGCGGCTGAAGGAAAACAGTTTGAGCATTTGCTGTAAAGGTAAATCATCATCAGCAGCATTTTGACGCCCACTGTTGTGCAAACAGTTATCCTTAAGGGTCCTTGTGCGTTTTCATAATCGCTGTTTAATCAGGAAATTTTGAAAAATTTTCATCAGTTTTTCTTCAAATAAAAATTGTGCATAAGTTAACGAGTAATCTTCTAAGTGTTATACCATTTTGGAATCCTTATTAAATGCGCCAACTTTTAAGGTTACTTGCCAAACTCTCGTAGTACATTTTTTTCCAGTACAGTCAGTTAAAGTTGAGCAAAGTTTTACTTTGGAATACTTGGTTGGGAAATAAGTGGCAATTTTTCCTGAATGAGAAAAGTTGGCAGTAAGGTTGAGACACCAGTTTGAAGATGCATTATTCATCATTACATTGTAAAAATAGAATCCAAAAAAGTTAATATTTGTAGTAACAGGAGTTGACAGACTGCCGTAGAGTGTGAAATTTCTATATTTTTTTCAAATACCTATAATTTTCAAAACACATACATAAAATTTTTTTAAATACTTTTCTGATAGCTGTTATGACTTTGCCTGGGACACCCTGTATATCGGGTTTTGCAATAGGGACTTGACAACTTTGAACTTCCACTGTGTACGCACCTTTAAATCAATTACCGAACTGTCAATGTCAAAACAATCAGTAAAGAAAACATTTTGATCATGGTGAAGTACACGAACGAACAACGCTCACAAATAATTAAAATTTACAACCGAAATTCAGAGTCGGTGACAGCAACTTTAAGAGCGTTAACACCGATTTTTGGTCGTAATTCTCGTCCCAGTAGACAAGTAATTCATAGTCTAGTAAAACAAATTGAGTGCACATATTCGCTGCAGGATGTTCCCGTGCCAGTGAGACACTAACCACACAAAATTCGGTGAACGTGTTATATCGAGAAATGGTCCTGACGGATGGCCGCCTAAATCGTGTGATTTAGCACCTCTAGACTTTTTTTTGTGGGGTTAAATTAAATCATTGGCCTATGTCAACAATCCGGCGTCATTCGAGGAGCTCAGTTCCAATATTGACCGAGAGATAGAGGCCGTTTCTGTCGGGTCATTGAAAATTGGGTTCAACGAGTCGATCGCTGCAAAAGTAATCGTGGTGGACATATGAACGAGGTCGAATTCCATACATAAATGTTTTGAGTATGCTTCAATCCAATAATAAAAGTTTCGAAATATCTCAAGTGGTTTGCGTTTTATTTAAAAAGAAAGTTGTCAAATCCGTAATGGAAACTCTTTGCAATGTGTCTGGTGTTGTAACAATTACAATAAAATGCAAGTAATAGCAAGCATTCCGTTAAAACTGTTTAAAATATTGTGCATGGGAAGCCGTGCCATAGACAGTGCAAGGTAGCGTAGAACGTGTCAATCAGATGTTGGTGATGAAAAATGCTCATGGAGTGGATGACCAATGAAAATTGAAAAAATGGTCTGAAGGACTATAATATATATACAATTAATTGTTAATTGGGAAATTAGCAAACTTTTTAGGCTTTAGTTAACTCTTTTGACGGTAATCTCTAGCTTTCGGCAATTCTCTAAAGAGCCTATAAAACCAATCGGACGGACGCATTGGGCTTATTGATAACGACGGATACCATCGTTAGGTGTTAACATTCCAAATCAATACACCCGAAATATATTAATTTTTTTTTAACGAGAAGTAATTTTGTGGACAAAACCGGAACGTCGTTTCTAACCTAAAAAATAAAAAATAGAATTTTAATATGTTTCAGGTGTATTGATTTGGAGTGTTAACACCTAACGATGCTATCCGTCGTTATCAATAAGCGCAATGTGTCCGTCCGATTGGTTTTATAATTGTAACAAGTGCTCTCATCCCCGCGTTCGTTTTGAAACACCATTTGGCTGCAACCTGAACGACGACTCCTGATGAAGGCTCCATAGAGAATTGCCGAAAGCTAGAGATTACCGTCAAATGAGTTAACTGAAGCCTAAAAAGTTTGCCAATTTCCCAATTAACAATTAATTGTATGTTTGCCCAACTAGTCGTTGGCAATGGCAATGACTACTGCTCTCATATATATATATATATACAGGGTGTCCGCAAAGTTGGGGTTTTCCTTTACACGACGTGTAGATCTTGAAAACATAAGCAATTTTTCTTAGTACCATATACACCAATGTCTTAAGGGAACCGAGATAACGGGCTCTGCAACATCAAAAATATCTGAATACCGTCCTGTAGCCGCGACATCACCGACTGGTACAAGGTCACTGTCTCAACCCGACGACAGAACTGGGTCGGGGTCAGTGTGTCTGGTCAGTATGCAACCGACGGTTACGGTCACGCGTGTAGAGGTAATCGCGCAGACGAGAATCCCTCAACAAGCACTAGAGACGTGGCTAGAGTAGTGCAAGTATCAAAAACTAAAGTGTAGCAAACGCTGCGTGAAGAGGGGCTGTATCCGTTCCACGTCCAACATGTACAAGCCCTTCAACCTGACGATTTTCCAGCAAGAGTGCGGTTTTGTGAGTGGTTGTTGCATCAACATGACAATAATCCGGACTTTTTGAAGTGCATATTGGTGACAGACGAATCTACGTTCACGCGTAATGGGGTGAATAACTTTCGCAACACTCATGTTTGGTCAGTAGAAAATCCGCACGCTGTCCGTCGGGCACATTTTCAACAAACATTTTCGGTGAATGTTTGGGCTGGCATGGTGAACGGTATGCTCATTGGAACATTTATTCTCCCAAATCCATTGGACGGGATGCAATACCTAGACTTTTTACGCAACATTTTGCCTTCCTTGTTAGAAGATGTGCCATTAAGTGTAAGACAATCAATGTGGTTTCTGCGTCTGCTCGGTAGCGCATCAGCTGATTTCATTTTCTGTTGGAGCGGTATGATTTCGGGCAGAGACGTACTTAGCCCTTCTCGTCAACTGGAGAGTCAGTACTTTTTCCTTTATTTTTTTTTTACTTGGTCGCCCTCGTTTCACTACACAGTACCTTTGTTATTTCAAGGGTAGTTGTTTCTGAAAAGGAAAACCCCAACTTTGCGGACACCCTGTATATAGTACAATGTAACAGTCCTTAGATCTATCACACCTCAATTATTTACATAAAACAATTTCTTTTCTTTCTGTTCTCTGTCCTACTTTCTTCCTTTCTTTCTCCCTCTCCACGTTCCCCTACAACTTGTCTGGTTTCTGGGCCACCAGACCTGACAGACTGACGATAGACACTGACATTACAGTGACTATGACCTAAAGGCTAAGGTCCTCCGGACAGCCTTGAAAAGCAATGACGAGTAGGAAGCCGTTGCCGGAAACTAATGAAAAATAAAGCATATCATCATGGAATTAAATGATCGCCGTACCAAGCAATGTTTGGTTGTGATGTTAAAGTTGATTTAATGTCATCAGTTCTGCCTCACGAAGCAAGCGAAAAGATCGATAATGAGGAGGATCTGGAGAAAATTCTTGAAAAATAACAGTAGCGAGGTAAATAAGACAGAAAACGAATCCCATGGAAATAAAATTACAGAAAAAGCAGTTTACTGGTATTATGTGTAGCTCTAAATGTTATTTAAGTTGTTCAAAAACGTAGATAACCCGTTGTCCCAATTTTTTGTCATATTATTGGGTATGTTAACCATCTACTTTTTTTATTACTTACATGGTCTAATGAATGTTTCAATAAATAATCTGTGTTAATTAAATTGTTATACACGCACGAAATATTTAAAAATTGTACAGTTCACTTACAGTTACGGAAAAAAATGTTTAAATTGTTATATTGTTTATACACAATTACGACGCACGTCACCAATTTATACAATGCATGTATCCACTTACAGCCCATTTAGTATCAGCGATCCCAGCCTGATGTAAACCTTCAGACAATCCTCCGCATCCGGCAAATATGTCCATACATCTCAAGGTTTCTACATTCTCCCATATTGGTGGCGGTTCGTACGTTGTTTTGGCTCTCCCTTTTATGAGCTGCCCCTTTTTACCTAAAAATATTACCCTATTTAGTCTAATCATATCAGCTAATTTGCCCGACATAAATGTAAACTCTGGTTTTATTGGTGCAAGTTGTTCAAGGGGTATTTAAAACAGGGACGCATAAAATGGGTACACCAACTTTTTTGGAAATACTTTTCATTCGACAACAAAGAGTAAGAAAATTTGTTTTTTGACATTCAATCGGAACTTTTCGTATAAAATTTTTAGGTATCAATGAGACAAAATGAGACCACACGTAACGAAATCCGACTAGTAGCAAAAATGTTATGGCCGAAAATCGAGTCAAACTGCTGGTTTTGGCACTTGTTGGTAATGCGACGATGGTTTCTCGCAGATATTTGAAATTCTTCAAATTCGTATTTCTTAATAACCACAACAAAATTGGAGTCGATTGGTCAAATAGTTTTTCAGAAAATCTAATTAATTATCCCAAAACACCTGTTTTCCGAAAAACAAAGAACAATCGTGGGAATGTCCGTGTTAAAGCAACAAGAGCAGAAATAGAAGGATTGGTAACCCGAGCGACGTACGTTTCTGTTGGGGATGCGTTTTGGTACGTTGTGTTTAATCTGGCGATATTTTATACCAAAAAATGCTAAATTTAAATCTTCGTCGATGACACTTTTTATTTATACAAGGTGGCCTAACCAAAAAGGTCGCACCCCTATTCTCCTGGTGTATTTTTCCGACACGTCAATTTTGATTTCTAGGGGGACGTCTTTTCATCTATAGCCGTACAATACAGCGTGATCCAAAAATAAGATATCTTCAATCGTTGTGAAGCTATTTAAGTTTATGATAAAACTCGACGAACAATACTGATAATAATGAAATGCCCCGCAAAAAATCATCGTATCTCATAGAAAAACTTTGTCTTTCATTTCAAATTGTTAAATTACTCACCTTTCCCCATGCTTCCGATCTTTTTTGCAATATCAGGTACAGATTCAAAACTGCGGGTTTTAAGGTTATAACAGTCGTTAAAATAATATCTGTATGGACCTTCTTGGCACCATTCCGTAGGAGATACTAAATGTTCTTCGAACGAGATATAGCATTTTCCTTCAACGTTACTAAATGCTACTGTTTTCACTAAAAATAGGAAAAACTCGATTTAATAACAGCGACCCTCCGAGCCATTTTTTTACAATGTGAATACGAAACTTTGAATACATTATTTACAATAAACAAATTACTTTTATAGGGCATCTCATAGTCTTAATTAATATTCTAAAAAGATAATACAATTCAAATCAATTTCACCAACCTTGGTCTGTATAATAGAGATAATTCAAATCTTTAGAATGAGCCAGGGTTGCTTTAATGGTATTTTCCGGCCGACAGAAAATCCTAACTTTAATTTTAACTTCATCCTTTTGGGCAAAAATCTCTTCGATGATTCCAATGACAAAAGGATCGGCTGTGTCACTGTTTGAACCCTTTATCGTGTCCGTTTTTCTTGTTTTTCTGTAATATTCTGGATAGATACGCTCGTCCACATATTTTTCTGTATCCTATAAACGTGCTTTTAGTGCGACTATTTCCATCGTCTTAATTTCTACCAATCACAAACGCGCAATTTTGAATTACTAGATAGAAAAATTGTGTGACAGCACCTGTCGGAGGTTTTCACAAAAAATTACAATACCTTTTATAACAAGTAATTATGGGACACCAGAAAACGACGCTAAACAATTTTTCTGATTTTAATGTCACTAAATTTTGTAATATTGTTTTTAAACAGTTGCAGAATAATCCGTCACTAATGAAATTATTTTTTTCCTGTGAAAAAAATCGAACAAACACAATGCAAAGTAGTATTTTTTTAACAAAAAACATTCGTGCGGGTGCAAAAATCCTCGTCTTCGACTACGATTTCTTGTTAAAATATTACTTAGCAACGTGTTTTTTCGACTGTTGTCGGAAAAATTAGATACCCTTATATTACTTATGAGAAATCATGTTCCTGCTACTAAATATAAATACAGTATAATAGAAGTCTCTAAATGAAGATGGAGAGTAACAAACTTCAAGAACTAGTCTAGTAAAACTGAAATACTGCAATTTACCATTTAGAATGCCAATTTTTGTAACGTCATTTTCTTATAAATAATGTTTTCTCAAGGAAAAAGTCGTTAATGGTTAATACTCACTTCTTTTTCTTGTTCACCTTCAAATTTTTCAAAACTGTACGTTTCAGGTGTAAGAAATACCCCCGTGCCAACTTTGTATGTGTCGTTCCTCCATTTGGCAATATCGTCCTTGAAAACTATATTATTGTACCACATTTGTTCGTTTTTTCGCCTGTAATAGAACGAAATGTGAACAATCGAAGAAAAATATTAATGGGTCTCTGATGATGGTTTTGCAAAAAATGTTCTCTAGCGTTCACCAACAATCGGATGTCAATAATACAACACCCAGAATTATTCATCGAATTTTGATAAAAACATATTTGCTATCATGGAGGTATACGCTGATAAAATGTTGAAGGCATTTCGAGATGTACTTTTTTCGTAAAGGCTTTTTTTTGTCATATCAGAATCCGAATAATATACTAAGTGACATATAAATCTGAACACCCAGTTTAAATGGTTTTATTTTAATAAAAGTTGGTGAATGTATTTATCTTACTGTAAATAACAAGTGAAAAAATTTTCAGTCTTATCAGTTGGACATTCCGGTTTTTATACTGCTTTTTTTAATTCACTAACGCTCTAAAAATGAATATTTCAGCCGCAGTAAAGAATCAACGTTGGCGGATTTTGGTTCTTGACATCCTTTACGATCGGTTACGATGCCTAGAGTACGGAGACCTGTACGATTTCGTCAACTTAGTGAGTTTGATAGGGGCCGTATAGTGGGACTTCGGGAAGCTGGACTTTCTTTTCGGGCAATTGCAGTTAGAGTGCAAAGAAGTGTAGACACTGTGGTTAGGTGTTGTCAGGCATGGCTTCGAGAAGGCCGTACGCAAAGAGCAAGCGGCACTGGACGCCGCCGTAGAACAACAGACCGTGAAGATCGCCGCCTAAGATTATTGGCCTTAAGGGACCGTTTCTCCACTACCAGGTCCATTGCAAATGAATGGTTTGCAGAACACAGAAGACCTATTGGCATGCGAAGTGTTTACAGACGAATGAGAAGTATTGGCTTGTTTTCATACCGGCCACACTAGGTCCTCCCTTTAACTCGAGAACACCGACGTAATCGCCTTGAGTGGTGCAGACAACGGTCACTCTGGGATCAGGAATGGAACAGTATTGTCTTTAGTGACGAGTCTCGATTTTGTTTAGGCATGCACGATGGTCGTGCCAGGGTTAGAAGGCGACGTGGTGAAAGGAGGAATCCACAGTTTTTTGTTGAAAGACATGTTCATCACACTGTTGGAGTTATGGTTTGGGGTGCTATAGCTTATGGTACCAGGTCACCTTTAATCTTCATCAGAGGTAACATGAACGCGCAGCGTTATATCCACGAAGTTCTACAACCCCATCTTTTACCCTATCTTGACACCCTGGCAGATCCAACTTTCCAACAAGATAATGCCCGACCACATGTTGCAAGAGTCACAATAGACTTCTTTCAACATAATGATGTCACATTTTTACCATGGCCACCAAGATCTCCCGACTTATCCCCAATTGAGCACGTGTGGGATATGATGGGTAGGAGATTGCTCAATTTGCAACGTCCTCCTCAGACTCTAGAAGCACTTCGAGAGGAGTTGGTGGTTGCCTGGAATGAGATACCACAGGAGGACATTGACCACCTGATCAGAAGCATGCCTAGGCGCGTTGGAGAATGCGTAGCACATCAGGGTGCATCCACACATTATTAAAGGTCAAAGGGCTATAAAGCAGTGCAATCATTTTGAAATTTTTATCATTTACTTATTATGCTTCATTAAGTACTTATACAAAATTTTATTAAAATAAAACCATTTAAACTGGGTGTTCGGATTTACATGTCACTTAGTATATGAACATGTTTACTTGATATTCAGTGATTCCATTTGTTTCATTGCATTATCATGCCGAGAGTTTGCATAATAAAATGCCTTTTAGTTTCCTGGCGACGATTCAGCTAGTTGTTCTTACTCCCTACTCAGGGCTCCAATTGCTTACAAATATCTTTACGATAAGATCATTAATAAATTTAATAATTGATGAGGAAAGAATACAAGCGTCTGATTACATTTATATAGAGAGGACGTCATAAAGTATGAGCTCCTTGATGTGTCCTTTAAATCTAGTTAAGTGGTAGTTGTTTGACTGCATGTGGTATTTTATTATACAATGCAGCTCCTGAAGAACACGATTTTTTGGAATTAGTTGCGAACAGGAATATTTAGTGTATGATCGACAAATCTGAGATTAGCATTATTACAAAGTTACAATGAACGGAATGCACCAAACAGCACAGATGTTCCATCCACCTTTTTCTCATAGTTAACCATGGAATACGCTTCAAATATGGTGATATACTTTCTCGTTCTGCATAACGGACATATGAATTTTGAATCTTTTGCAACCTGTAGGATTCATTTTGTATCAGGCAAAGACCAAACATAGAATCTGCTTCCCTTTTTGGAAACATTGAAGATCCACTTTTTCAGCAGGACAATGCACGACCTCATGTCGCACGTGTAGAAACAAGTCAAAAAGTTCATATGACCCATGGTCCAAAAGTCAGTAGATTTTTGTCCAAATGGCTTTATAGTTTACAACTTAAAGTGCTTTATATCGACCACAATCTTACTAATTTTTATAATCTTATCTGAAACGTAGTTAAGCCAAAATTTGTAGTCAGTAAGTAAGTTTCATTAGATTGAATATTTAAAACACACATGACAACAGCGCGTCGGTCTTTCATCAGTCTTATCGAACCGGCAATAGATCGCAAACGGTCAAAGTGGTTAGTTATCGTTTTGCATAGCTAAATTTTATCGTCTTGTCGATCATAGCATCGGGCGTGTTGTTTTGTTTTTGTTCGCGTACGTCGTCGTGTTTATTTACAATGTTCTCGAATCAAGAGTTCGCCGACATGTTGTTAGTTTACGGTGAAGCCTGTCAGAATTCAAATCTTGCAGCTCAAATGTATCGTGACAGATTTCGCCAACGGGTACACCCAGACAGAAGGATATTTGTGCAAGTGTACCAAAGACTTCGAGATACAGGAAGTGTTCAGCCCACTAATATTCGCACTCGTGAAATGTTTATTATTCTTAGCCCTAAAGCTACTTCCTATAGTTTATAATAGTGTCTTACTCCAGTAATAAACAAAAAAACAGTAATTCTAGATTCCCTTAAAATCATAGTAACTGCAACCACAGTAAATGCAACAATAGCAAATGCGAGATAATGACATACAGTTATCTTAACACAGAAAGTACATATATTATGCCATTTTATCTAGATACAATTGCTTAACCTTACGAATAAATATATTTACAGACGTCGCTTCTCTAATTTCTGTAGGTAATGCATTAAAAAGTCTCAAACCATCACTAAAAAGACATTTTTGCATATGGGATGTTCTAGCGAATTCTATGTCAAAAGTGTTACGTGACCTGATATTATATGCATGCCTGTCGGACCTCGGTGTTAGATATTCCTGCAAGTATTCAGGCAATAAATGATTTTTTGTTTTAAAAATAAATAAGACATTTGACATTTCAACCTTTTGCTGTATTGAAAGCCATCCGAGGGTTTTTAACATTAAATTAATAGGCGTATAACGTGTACAAAATAATATAGTGCGCAGAGCCTTATTTTGTAGTAACTGGAGCCTTTGAATATCAGTTTTTTTTGCATGATAGCAACAATGAAAAACAATCATTAAAATGTGGATATATAATGGTATTATATACAAGAAGACGACTCCAGTGACTAAGACTTTCAGATATTCGCCTAAAAAATCATATTTTTTTCCCAATTTGTTTACTAACATAATCAACATGCAATGAAAAATTTAGCTGAGGATCTAAAACTACGCCCAAATACTTCATACTAGATGCACTTTCAATTTGAATATTATCTATCTCAATACAAAATTTATTTTCTAAAAATGTATTACAGTTCTGCTTTGTCCCAAAAACCATGTATTTTGTTTTTTCTACATTCAACTTAAGCCTATTCACACATAACCAGTTATACAGAATTTCCAGTATTGAGTTCATAGTATCTACAGCTTGTCTAAAATCCTTACCGTACGCATAAAGCAATGTATCGTCTGCAAAGAAGCTCAGAAATGTATTTACTAAAACCCTGTTCAAGTCATTTATATAAAGTAGGAACAAAAGCGGGCCCAACACACTACCCTGAGGTACCCCAATTTCACTATCAATTGAATTTGACGCCACGTTATTAATCTTCGTCACATGACAACGGTCTTTCAAGTAGTTCATAAACCATTTTAGTGCACTGTCTGTAATCCCATAGGTCTGCAATTTCTGGATCAGTCTTTTCCTATCAATAGTCTCAAATGCACGTTGAAGGTCGATGAATACACTTAACACAATATTCCCGTCATGAATGTATGAACGCCATTTCGAACAAATATACTGCAGCGCCGACTCGCACGAGTGTTTTTTCCGAAATCCCGACTGTCCCTTAAACAACAGTTTTCTTGCCTCCAGAAACTCCCGTAACTGCGCAAAAACCACGGTTTCCAAGATTTTGTCTATCACTGATAACAAGTTAATGGGTCGGTATTGTGCTGGTTTATTTGGCGAGGACACTTTTGGAATAGGCACTATAACACTAGTTTTTATTGCTTTTGGAACTTTCCCTGTTGTAAGGGATGCATTGATCAAGTGAAGCAAAGGGTATTTGGGCGGGTATTGTTGACGATCAGATAATTGGCCCTTTCGAGTTACCCCCAAAGTTGTCAGGAGAGCTTTCTAGCCAATAACCTACCAGAACTTTTGGAACAGACCTTAGACAACATGCATTACAACAGAGACAGAATTTGTGGTTTCTTCATGACGGGGCACCACCACACATTTTTAGAGGCGTCATTCAGTATTTGAATGAACATTATCCAAATCGCTGGATCGGTCGAAATGCTCCTGATCCTCGAAAATGGTCAGCAAGATCTCCTGACCTCAATCCGATGGACTTCTGGTATTGGGGAGAACTTAAAGAGATGGTTTATGGGACTGGTCCAATAACAACTGAGGCACAACTTCGCGAAAAAAAATTTAATGCGGCTGAAATAATAAATGGACAACCTCGAGGACCTATAGTAAGAAGAAATTGGGTTCGTCGTAATGAAGATTGTGTGAAAAGTGGAGGACGACATTTTGAACACCTTCTTTAAATACAAAAAGTGCAGTGTGGGTTTTAAGAAGAAAAACAATGTATGTATCAAAATTGTGTTCCCTATTTATAAGTGGATTTTTTTAATACGTTCAATAAACTTTCACACACCAGGTGAAGCGCTGAGAGAGTTAGTGGTAAGTCCGTTTTTTTAATTGTTTGTATTTTACGAGTACATTATCAAATAATGAAATAATACCTAAGAGCCAAAAATAACAAACTCCATCTTTATTTACACTGCGTTCCGTCGTAATTTGCGTCTGGTATTGCGGCGTTGTCAGATTTTATTTTACATTAAAGTCGCTTTTCTCTAAAAAATGCCGTTTTGACCCCCATGTTATATGAAACTTTTTGCTTCTTTTAAAACCCTTTTAAATAATGACTATTATAAAGTTTACACCCTGTATAGTAGGTCCGCAAATTTTGCCAGGTGGCCAGTGCGTCTAGAACAGGATCTGAACGAATATTTGTGACAAAAAAATGTACGCCACTGACTTTTGTGAAATTTTTATTATGTTCTTTGGATTTGGCTTTTGTCTATTAATTTTTTTTTCATATCTTGCTACTTTTCGAAAAAGTCTCCTAATTGCATATCCTGGAAGCAATATGGGGAAAAATTTATTTTGGAAATTATTTTTTTTATAATTTTGTATTACTAATTATGTTAATGTTATTTGATATTTGTTGTTGTTGCATAATAAGTAATAAAAAAATATAAAAAATGATAATGGATAAAAAAATCTATAAAATCTAAAACAGTAAAGGTAAACAAAAAACAGTACCTGCATGAAGTGCATTCGTTATCCTTGATCTCTTTTTCAAAATCAATATCTATGAATCTATTTTCGTCCATCCTTTGGGTATAAAAGAATGTCTTCCCATCATCTTCGAGAGACTCTGGAAGGCTCAACTCGCCACCAATTTCTGACCAGTTTTCAGGGTGCTTTCTGTACTCGACCTAAAAAATATCGAAGCTGCATAAACTAAAAATGAGCAAGAATAAACTGTATATAAAATTGTTGATCTATGATCTGGATTGAAGCTTGTTTTCTAGGAAAACCTGGGGGCGTTGATCCGAATTGGATGCCGGTAAAGGATTCACGGGTGGCCGTTTTTTAACAATGTTTCACAACTAACACAACAACACAAGCCTCTGCGATGGATAGGTTCCCCGACACAGTACCTCGCATTCTCAGTTGACCACCCTGTACAACTTGGCGCTGACGGAACGCTAGACGTCAAAACGTAATGGATACTCGTGAAACAGGGTTTAGGAGTAATATTAGCGCTCCAACTGCCATCGGAGTAGGAAATTACCTGTGCTTTCTGGATAATACTGCCCAGCGGTAAATCGTCACAATCGTCCACAAGAAACAGCTCTCTAGGGTCGGCAGTTTCACCTAGAATGCTATCAGTACCCCGACAAAACAAGAGACCGTGGAACATGTATTTCTGCGGCAGATTGTCGAACATATGAATCACTTTAGCGACACATGGAGGGTCTTTCGGATTTTCCGATTTTAGCATCACGAAGTCGCCGGTCCTGACGGTTAAATCGCCTGAAATAGGGTTATAGGAGAATAGCAAATCACAAAAATAATTTTTAATCGAAATTCAGGGGAAATTACGCAAAGGTCGGAGATGCGTTTCGGTAAAGGGTGTTTTTTAGAGGTATAGAACTTTCAATTGCAATAAAACAACGATGGATTATTCAATTGACATGAATTTTTTTTATTCGAAAGATAATCTTGTGGCATTACATATTAAATATGATTTCTGGCATATGACTGCCACGGCCGGCTCGGATGTAGTCCAATCTGGACGTCCAATTTTCGATTACTTTTTCCAACATTTGTAGCCGTATATCGGCAATAACATGGCGAATGTTGTCTTCCAAATGGTCAAGCTTTTGTGGCTCATCCGCATAGGCCAATGACATTACATAACCCCAATGAGGTGTTAAATCACAAGATCTTGGAGGCCAATTCACAGGCCCAAAACGTGAAATTAGGCGGTCACCAAACGTGTATTTCAATAAATCGATTGTAGCACGAGCTGTGTGACATGTTCCGCCGTCTTGTTGGAACCACAGCTCCTGGACATCATAATTGTTCAATTCAGGAATGAAAAAGTTAGTGATCATTGATTCTAACATTCTGGCCATCATCGTTTTTGAAGAAGTACGGACCAATGATTCCACCAGCCCATAAAGCGCACCAGTCAGTTTTTCTGGATGTAACGGTGTTTCGACATAGACTTGAGGATTAGCTTCACTCCAAATGCGGCAGTTTTGTTTGTTGACGTAGGCATTCAACCAGAAGTGCGCTTCATCGCTAAACAAAATTCGCTTATGAAAATCGGGAACAACGGCCATCTCGTTTTGGGTCCCTTCAACGAATCTACGCCTTGCTTGATAATCGTTTGGCTTCAATTCTTGCACGAGTTGGATTTTGTAAGTACGCAAACGAAGATCCTTCCGCAAAATCTTCCATAAAGTGGATGGACACAGATCCAATTCCTGTTCTCGATGGCGGATGGACTCATTCGGGTCTAGCAATAGCTTCTTCTGTACGCACCGTACGGCGTCTCTGGGGATGCGAGTTATCAATTAGAGTAAACGTGGTCCGAAAACGTTCCATGGTTAATCGAACCAGCTACTCTGATGGACGATTTTTTCGAAGATAAAATGGACGTAGCGCGCGACGCGTATTCCGCACAGAACCATTATTTTCGAAATAAAACTGCACAATTTGCAAGCGTTGTTCAGGCGTGAGTCTATTCATTATGAATTGCCAAACCAAACTGAGAATAAATCACTTGACAGCTGTCAAATCGGTCACGATCTTCAAAAGTAATGCCAACTTAAAGTTCTATACCTCGAAAAAAAAAAACACCCGTTACATTGTTTTCAATCTGGCGATATTTTATACGTCTGACTTGGTCAAAACATGCAAAATTCCAATTTTCACCGATGACACTTTAATTTATATACGGTGGCCCAACGAAAAGTTCGCACCCCTATTTGTGACTCTCCTAGTATACAGGGTGTTTCAGTTTATTGTTGCATAACTTTAAGATTCGATAGAACTTTTAAAATTAATGCATAAAGTCTATACATGGGTCGAAAAATGCGTGGCTTCCGAAATACAGGGTGTTTACATTTACTTTTTAAAATAGTTTTTTTTTTTAAATATTTCGAACAATATTTGATGTATAACAGTGAAAATGGGTATACAAGGGTTTTTTGGTACGACAAAACGAACCATGGGCATAGTTTTACTGTAGCCGCTAGAGGGCACTCTCTACTGTACCTGTAGTGTATTAAAATGACCGAAATTTTTTTTTTATTGCAATTTTTTGCTTTTTGAATAAAAAAAAACTGATTCATCGCACTTTTCTGCATAAAAAAGCTCTCCTGTGAGTTTTCGTTATAGTTAGCCGTTTTTGAGATATTCGATTTTTAAGGTTCGATGCATTTTTAATTATTTATGGGAAAATAATATCTTTTTTTACATTTTCGATTTGGGCATTACAAGTAATTAAGATGATCGTTTAGATTGTGTTTTTAGACACTGCAATAATTCCTAACTCCAAATAAACACAAAAAACAGAATATTAATTTGTTTAATTTTCCAATATTATTTTTAACAAATTAAATTAATTATTTACAACTAAAATGCTATTGGATAGTTAGGACAAACATACAAAATCTAAAGTAGTTGCTCGAAATGTAAACCCAATTGTTCAATACACAATTCACATCTACAAATGATCGAACGTGGTATAGCATTATTCAAATAAGGCCTTATTTCATCACATGCATTCCTGATTCTGTCTATTAGCATATCTCTTGTGGTTACGGGAGTCTGGTACACTTTTTCTTTTGGAAATCCCCACACAAAGAAATCTAATGGATTTAGGTCAGGGGATCGTGGAGGCCAGGTGACTGGTCCTCCACGGCCGATCCATCTTTCTGGATAATTTTCGTCCAGCCAGTTTCTAACTATTCTCGAATAATGACCTGGACAACCATCAAGCTGGAACCAGGCCAATCTTATTAAATCTAACATAACATCATCCCACATATTTGCATGTTCAGCCTTTAAAAATTCCAAGAAGGTCGCCGTATTTAACCTTGCAACCACACGTTGACACTAAATTCATGCTGAAAATTTCTTTCCCAAACTGCATGCGGATTTTCATGCGACCAAATATGTTGATTATGAACATTTACCACTCCACGTCTAGTGAAGCATGACTCATCGGTCCATAAAACGTTACTTAAAAACTCCCTATTATTATCAGTTCTATCAAGAATCCACTGACAAAATGTGATTCTTCGTTCTCCGTCCCCTGGCTGTAGTCCTTGCACAGGTTGCAAATGGTAAGGACGTCTACGGTCATTTCTAAGAACACGGTGAACATGGCTTGAGCGAGTTGGATGTCGTCTGTTTGGAAATCTTCGTGCGTATAAAAATGGCATTTTTATAAAACTTGCAAAATAAAAACAGGTAAAAGAAACTAAATTTCATTCATTCACAATTGCAAAAAAACGTTTCAGGTTTCAACAGACAACAAAACTAACTAACTAATTGACGTTTAACCTTATTCTGCTTTCAATTTCAAAAATATTTGCAGGCACAGCTTACTTCTAAAAATTATCGAGATACTGACTTTTTAACGTTATTTTATCATAAATAATTAAAAATGCATCGAACCTTAAAAATCGAAATATCTCAAAAACTATAACGAAAATTCACAAGAGAGCTTTTTTATGTTGAAAAGTGCGAAGAATCAGTTTTTTATTCAAAAAGCAAAAAATTGCACTAAGAAAAAATTTTCGGTCATTTTAATACACTGCAGGTACAATAGAGAGCGCCCTCTAGCGGCTACAGTAAAACTATGCCCATGGTTCGTTTTGTCGTACCAAAAAACCCTTGTATACCAATTTTCACTGTTATACATCAAATATTGATCGAAATATTTAAAAAAAAACTATTTTTGAAAGTAAATTTAAACACCCTGTATTTCGGAAGCCACGCATTTTTCGACCCATGTTTATATAGACTTTATGCATTAATTTTAAAAGTTCTATCGAATCTTAAAGTTATGCAACAATAAACTGAAACACCCTGTATTTTGAGAAAAACGCTCGGACACTTTAATTCAATTCATTTTTGATTTCTAGGGTGATCCAAAAATAAGATATTGTATTACACTTTAGATTTTTAAATGGAAACCTCAATTTTTTTGGTTTTTAGATTTTCCATGAAGTTTTTAGTAACTTTTGTATAATAAAGTTTAAACCTATCTTCAATCGTTGTGGAGCCATTTGAGTTTATAATAAGATTCTAGAAATTGTAGTAATAAGGGAATATACCGTAAATATAATAATCAATATAGTTCCCATAGTAACAAAACTTTACTTCGAAATTAAAAACAAGTCTCCAAGTATTAAAAAACAAAAAACAACCAAGATTTTGTGCGAATCTATTCCTCACATTTTCAAGCATGTCTTGAGTTATTTGCCTACATTCAGCTGAATCCGCTCACGAAGATCTTGAATGCATTATGGCTTCGTACTAAAAACTTTACTTTTCAAATTCCCCCAAAAAGAAAGAAATCTGAAGGACTTAGGCCCGGAGATCTCGGCGGCCACTAGATGTTGCCCCGTCTGCCGATCCAATGATTCACATAGTGCGGCGGTGCACCATCTTGTTGGAAATGAATGTAATTTTCATTATGATTAACGTCACTTTCTATTATTTCGGTGATTCGTACGTCTCGCCTGTCAAATTTCCAGGAAAAGGTCCTAAAATATGATTTCCGAATATGCCGACCCACACATTTATTTTTTCAGGATATTGCGAATGTACCTCTGGAAACAAATGTGGATTCTAGTCACTCCAATATCGACAAATGTCTATTTCCAGCACCATTTAAATAGAACGTACACTCATCCGAGAAACAAATATTAAATAGCAGATATACATTATTGATTAAAAGTTGGGACATTAATTCGCAAACTCCAACATTCTATCAAAATCGTCTTCATTAAGCTCATGGATAAGTTTTATCTTGTACGGGTGAACATTTCCCAGAGCGCCTCATCTCAATTTGGTAGTTTGGAGTGGCCGGCCCGCTCTCCCGATTTGGCCCCTTGTGATTTTTTTCGATGGGGTTTTTTGAAAACGCCAGAAATCTGTTTACTTCATTGTATAGAGAATGAGGGACGCCACCTAAGTCATTTGATCTTCAAATCTACGTAAAACAAAACTTTAGGCATGCGCCCACCTTAGAACAAAACACAGTTTTGAAAAAGAAAGTGATGCTGCCGCACCCTGAATTAATGCTAATGAAAAACATCTGGAATAATATCTTGCAGTACTTTACCGACAACTGCAGTTGAATAACACGTTCTTCCTTTGTACACGGTGTTTGCTTTTTCCGAAAAGGTAACGATGTGTAAAATTTTTTTAGAACAGTGAGTCTTTATATCTTTCTTGGGTTTCACTTTCAGATCATCTTCGTCTTCGTTGTCGGACATCTCTGCGTCTTGTATGGCCATGCTCGGGCATCTGAAAGAATTCATATGTAAACTCCGAAATTTAAGATATAGTTTTGTAAGATGATTTTTAATTTCAAGCTGCCTTGGTGCCCCATCTAGCGGCGTTCAAGTGAAACGAACGGCTTGGTAAAGGTATCTCTAATTGTTTTCCAGTTGCACCACGCTGCCTCGTAGGCACACCCCACGGTACCACCGTGCGAGGACAGTAACCTGTATACGATAGAACTGTCTGATGTTTTGTAAACTGATATCTCTATTCATCGTCAGTGAAATAACCAACAAATTGTCATAGCATACAAATACCTTTTATTTTTACAGGCCTGTTTTGAGCGTCCGGAGCCGCCGAACTTGAGCATATCCTTGCAGTTACGGCACTCCCCGCAGTCAGGCGACTGACACGCCTCGCATATGCCGCATCTCCTCCGTTTAGGGCCTTTGTTCTCATCGGTTATGTCACGTCTGTCTAACTGGCCAGTGAAAAAGTGCTCGAATACGTCCCTCACCAGCTTTGTCGTCACAGCCTTCGTCCATTTCGGAGCTTTGTACTTTATTTCCTGAATACAAAAATCTTGGTAAATAAAACATTCAAATAAAAATGTCTATAGCCAAAAAAAATGTAAAATTAGATAAGAAATGGCACTACAGTATATTCAGATAAGAGATAGACCGGATGTAAACAAAAGGTTCGGGTGATTTTCACGCTAACGCCGCCGTCTCGACGTAAAACAGGAGCCCTCATTGGTCAATTCGCAATTAAATGCCTATGCCGAGCGGCAGAGCAGTCGTATCAAGGCAGAGTCACATTCAGGTTCAGACGTGTTACGTATGTCGTGTGCATCATTGCAATTTGATATTTCTTTGGACGTTTTCGTTTGTTATCTTATTAAGTTGTTGAGTTTGTCGTTGTTATTGTTATACCTTGTTATTGTTATCAACTGCTTGCGCAAAATGCCCAGTAGATACTGCCGATGAAGTTGTAAACTCCTGTAGTCCACCTAGGAAACGCTCTAAAAAAAGACACCTGAGTGCAGAAATGAAAGAGGTCATTTTGAATATATATAAGATCGAGCGCGAGGAGAACGAGGCATCAACCATCAAAGAAATTGTTGTGAAGGTTTCACACAAAGTTGGGGTGTGTCGCGCATCAGTGTTTAATGTGTTAAGACAATACAAAAAAAATCACACCTTTTCTGAGCCAATGACCAGTAAACATCGCAAAAGTATTGTTAAATCATTGGATGAAGCTGATAAGCATGCGATTAGGAGGAAAGTGCATGAATTCTTCTTTAGGAATGAAATACCTACTATAGATAAAGTACTGCAGGAGGTAAATGGAGATACAACGTTGCCAAATTTCAAACGATCAACTTTCCATGCGTTACTGAAGCATTTAAATTTCAAATGGAAAAAACGGGGTCGTAATAGTTTACTACTGGATAGAGAAGAAATTGTGCTATGGAGGAGGGATTATTTAACAAAAATTGGGAAATATAGAAATCAAAACAGGAAGATTTATTACCTTGATGAAACGTGGGTAAACGCAGGACACACTACAAGTAAAGTATGGGTTGATGATTCTGTAACTTCATCCAGGAGGGCCTTTCTAGATGGATTGTCCACCGGATTAAAAAATCCAGCAGGTAAATACGAGTAATAGACAACAATCGGATGTTTTTCAAACCTTGGGAACAAGGTTCTAAACATTAATTCCAGGGGGCAGATAAAACATATTACAAGTAACAAAACTTTTATAACTTTCGATAAAATGCGTGGATGTTTTATTGTCATTTTCATTTGTTAGAACTTTTTTAAGCCATGTTTTTATGTGTTTTCGATATTTCAATAATTTTTTAATATAATCTTAAAATATGTCGAATATTATAAACTTAAAAAAAGTTACTAAGTTTTATATTGTGTACCGTTCCTAATATTTCTAATCATTTTAATTCATACTTTAAGCTTTATAAAGTTATAATTTGTTAATATTAATATTTGCGCGTATTTCAGGTTCCTGATCATTCATTTTTTAAAGGTTTATAACTTTAAATTAAATTGTGAAGCGCTGAGTAATCATACGACGTTCAATATTCTTTCTTTCAATATGACTAAATAATCCCAATTATAGCAATCTGATACTCATGTCTCAATGTTTTTTCGCTGAATGTGATGAAAACATTTGAAAAAGGTTCGCTTATTGAAATAAATCTACACCAGTTAGTACTTCGATTTCCAGGTAAAGGGAAAAGGCTCATTATCTGCCATATTGGCAGTGAGGATGGATTTGTTGTTGACGGTCTGTGGTGCTTTGAGTCTAAGAAAACTGGAGATTACCACGAGGAAATGAATGGCGAATCGTTTGAACAGTGGTTTTCAAAAATTTTACCGAACTTAGAGAAAAACGCAGTAATTGTGTTGGATAATGCGCCTTATCATTCTCGAAGAATGGAGAAGGTCCCAACAACGGCTTCAAGGAAAGTTGATGTTCAAAATTGGCTCTGCTCAAAAAATATCAACTTTGAAGAAGCAATGCTGAAAGTACAATTATTAAGAATTGTCAAGGATCACAAGGCGGAATATCAAAAATACGCCATTGACGAAATGGCAGCAAGTCAAAATAAAACTGTGCTCCGTTTACCTCCATACCATTGCGAGCTCAATCCCATTGAGCTCATATGGGAAGAGGTTAAAAATTATATAGCTAAGCACAATACAACTTTTAAATTTTGTGACCTCAAAGGACTTTTCAAAGAAGCACTAGAATTAATAACAGTGCAAAAATGGGAAAACTGTATTAAGCACGTGAAAGACAAAGTTGAAAAGATAATGTGAGAACTGGACAATATTTTAGAGGAACAAGTCGAGCCATTCATTATTGACGTTGGTGCTTCAGGCAGTAGCGATGATGAAAGCTCATCAAGCTCATCTTTCCAATAAAAGATGTCGTTCATCAAATTCGGTAAGTTATAAGTAATTATAAAGCTACTGTATTTTTTAATTAATTATTGACATTTTTGAACCCATTTTGGCAAAACCTATTCAAGAATCTACTTTCTGACAATGTTCAACCATGCACATTTTTTTACGTTTTGAACGTTTTAATTTGGTTACATATTTACCTAGAAATCAAAAATATACTAATCAATATTCTAAAAGCAATTTTAAGAGATATACGATTATTTTTAATTTAGGCTAATTTAAACACCATTTTGAGATTATATTCGACTGTATTTCACCAAACATCAGGCGGCATCCGAAGCTGGAAATTGAAGCGAAAATTTTGAAACCCTTACGTATATTTACATCATTATATATTTCTTACCCCACCCCCACATGATCCTATATCCATCACCAATCGTATACACATCGAATTGTGCTAATTTACTACAAAGTTACGCAAAGCAGCATCTACTATCTAAAATATGTACTGCGTGACTCTTAATACGTCCCTGCCGAATGTTACAGCGTTCGATGATCACGTGGTCTTGTTTATGTCCGGTCTATCTCTTATCTGAATATAATGTAGGTTAATACAGATGACTATTTGACAGCAACAACTATAAATTATTACTTGGTAAATTAAATTACGTAAAACTCATCAATTCCCTCAGGCGTGCCTCAGGACTTTGTATTGGGGCCGCTGCTGTTGCTCATATACAGGGTGTTATTTCAGTATGTGGCCAGACTTCAGGAGGTGAGTGTTTGAGTAATTTATTCGAACTTATTAGATTGCACAATCGGAGAACTGTCCCTTATCCTTTATGATTTCCAGCTACTTTTTTTTAAAGACTTTGTAATAGTAATATTCTCAACCAACACCAAAAAATTACCACAGTTTTAATCAGATTGTAATTAAAAACATACCTTCTTCCCATTGACGCGCATCTTTTTGTTCTTTTTGAAAGTAACCCCAGCCATTTTGACCAGGGATCTTATACATGGAACTGTGATCAAAGGCTTGTCGTCTTCATCTCTCGTATCTTCTGACACCACGTCAATATTGTACACCTAATATAGATATTCATTGATTATAATAATGCCGTAAGTAATTCATAAAGATTAAAACATAAATACGCAAAGGAGACGCTACTAATGCCCTATAATCTTGCCAAGGTCTGGCTAGTACTTCTTCCGTTATTTTTATGAAAATAATTGTGATAGAGAGAAGTAAGAAAAGCGTTTTTGACGTTGGTATAGAGATTATAACTCATTATTCTGTAAATTTTTCTATTACCTGATCACAAATAAACTGTGCGTTTTTCAACAAAATATCTTCAATATTTTCATAATCGCCAAAGCTTGCAATATGCTGAATCAGATCTTCCAAGGTGGGAGATTCCCACGCCTTGTCCAACAAAAATTCTACTATTATTTTGGCTAGCATCATTTTTTCTTTTATCTTTTTGAAAATTGGCTGATACTCTGCAGACGGTTCCATCAAGTAATACTGTGCATATTCGGTTGTGAGTCCGATAGGTAGCTTTTCACCACCATCAAAGCCGGCTGACCACCTGTTCAGAGTGAGTTAATATTAGTGACAGATCGCATGTGGGGAAATGGAGAGGAGTGCCTTAGAAATCGGTAGGTGTATCAGTATCATCTGAAAAAACTGGCGCCTCTCTTAGATCCTTCAAGAAATTATACAGGGTGTTTCAGTTTATTGTTGCATAACTTTAAGATTCGATAGAACTTTTAAAATTAATCCATACAGTCTATATAAACATGGGTCGAAAAATGCGTGGCTTCCGAAATACAGGGTGTTTAAATTTACTTTTTAAAATAGTTTTTTTTTAAATATTTCGAACAATATTTGATGTATAACAGTGAAAATTGGTATACAAGGGTTTTTTGGTACGACAAAACGAACCATAGTTTAACTGTAGCCGCTAGAGGGCGCTCTCTACTGTACCTGTAGTGCATTAAAATGACCGAAAAATTTTTCTTAGTGCAATTTTTTGCTTTTTGAATAAAAAAACTGATTCTTCGCACTTTTCAACATAAAAAAGCTCTCTTGTGAATTTTCGTTATAGTTAGCCGTTTTTGAGATATTTCGCTTTTTAAGGTTCGATGCATTTTTAATTATGTATGATAAAATAACGTTAAAAAGTCAGTATCTCGATAATATTTAGAAGTAGGCTGTGCCTACAAATATTTTTGAAATTGAAAGCAGAATAAGGTTAAACGTCAATTAGTTGACAGTTAGTTTTGTTGTCTGTTGAAACCTGAAACGTTTTTTTGCAATAGTGAATGCACGAAATTTAGTATCTTTTACCTGTTTTTTTTTTTGTAAGTTTTATAAAAATGCCATTTTTATTCTCCAATCAAGAGTTAGCGGATATTCATTTTGTGTGTGGCTTTGTAAATGGAAACGCAGCAGAAGCAGCCAGAGAATACGGACGAAGATTTCCAAACAGACGACATCCAACTCGCTCAGTATTTGTAAGAGTGCATCGCCAAATAATTGAAAATGGTTTTGGAAATCTCCAAAGGGATCAAAACATAAATGTTCGTCAGCGCAGATTTACCCGTATGATTCTGCGTGAGTTTGATAGAGATCCGACCAGAAGTGTTAGGAGAGTTTCTGGTGCCTTGGGAATTTCAGCAAGCCATGTTCACTGTGTTCTTAGAAATGACCATAGGCATGCTTACCATTTCCAACCTGTGCAAGCCAGGGGACAGAGAACGAAGAATCACATTTTGTCAGTGGATTCTTGATAGAACTGATAATAATAGGGAGTTTTTAAGTAGCGTTTTATGGACCGATGAGTCATGCTTCACTAGACGTGGAGTGGTAAATTTTCATAATCAACATATTTGGTCCCATGAAAATCCGCATGCAGTTCGGGAAAGAAATTTTCAGCATGAATTTAGTGTAAACGTGTGGATTGGTATCTACCGTAATCGATTATTTGGACCCTACCTTTTGCCTGCAAGGTTAAATGCTGCGACCTTCTTGGAATTTTTAAAGGCTGAACATGCAAATACATATGTGGGATGATGTTATGTTAGATTTAAGCTTGATGGTTGTCCAGCTCATTATTCGAGAATAGTTAGAAACTGGCTGGACGAAAATTATCCAGAAAGATGGATCGGCCGTGGAGGACCAGTCGCGTGGCCTCCACGATCCCCTGACCTAAATCCATTAGATTTTTTTGTGTGGGGATTTCTAAAAGAAAAAGTGTACCAGACTCCCGTAACCACAAGAGATATGCTAATAGACAGAATCAGGAATGCATGTGATGAAATAAGGCCTTATTTGAATAATGCTATACCATGTTCGATCATTCGTAGATGTGAATTGTGTATTAAACAATTGGGTTTACATTTCGAGCAACTACTTTAGATTTTGTATGTTTGTCCTAACTATCCAATAGCATTTTAGTTGTAAATAATTAATTTAATTTGTTAAAAATAATATTGGAAAATTAAACAAATTAATATTCTGTTTTTGGTGTTTATTTGGAGTTAGGAATTATTGCTGTGTTTAAAAACACATTCTAAACGATCATCTTAATTACTTGTAATGCCCAAATCGAAAATGTAAAAAAAATATTATTTTCCCATAAATAATTAAAAATGCATCGAACCTTAAAAATCGAAATATCTCAAAAACGGCTAACTATAACGAAAATTCACAAGAGAGCTTTTTTATGTTGAAAAGTGCGAAGAATCAGTTTTTTTATTCAAAAAGTGAAAAATTGCACTAAGAAAAAAATTTCGGTCATTTTAATACACTACAGGTACAGTAGAGAGCGCCCTCTAGCGGCTACAGTAAAACTATGCCCATGGTTCGTTTTGTCGTACCAAAAAACCCTTGTATACCAATTCTCACTGTTATACATCAAATATTCTTCGAAATATTTAAAAAAAACTATTTTATAAAGTAAATTCGGAGGAAAATCGGAGGCCACGCATTTTTCGACCCATGTTTATATAGACTTTATGCATTAATTTTAAAAGTTCTATCGAATCTTAAAGTTATGCAACAATAAACTGAAACACCCTGTATAGAAGGATTTTGTCCCATAATCATTTCTAATTTTTTTTTAAATTTATTTGAGATAGGTTTCAAAATATATTGCACATTAACATTGCCACTTTTTGACCCTGCAAGGTAGCATAAATAGAATATTTATTTGAGTTTTCGATCCTCCTTTATCTCAACTTTGATTTTTTTATGTATTGTATGCCATATTGTACAAGTATAATTGTTTAAAAAAAACAAAATTTCATGAGCAAGCCTTGAAATTATCATATTGTCATTTATTTTATTTTCAACTAATACTAATAATTTCCTATCTAATGGATATTGATTTAGCTTGTCGAGAACCCTGTACATGAACAATTTAATTCTTATAAAAAATGTTGTCATTTAATTGTTACTGAGCTAGAGGGAAGGAGGGCAGGTGCTCCCCCTTAGGTACGATGATGGCCCATCCACAACAAACTTGTATTCCTTTCCATGGGATTGGTCATATCTATTCCAATGTTATTTGTGAATATTTTGAATAAATGTTACCAAGTGAACATGATGACGTCAAAATGACGTCATTATTCGGTCGCTTTTGGTCGGAAAAGTCATTGACCAAAAAATGGCGTCTTTATTGACGCCATTTTTATGACAAGACGTCCTTGAAAAGGCTGTGTTTTGACGTCTTTTTTTAGGACAGTCCGCATTGAAAAATCAACACTTACCTACAACTTTCAATCAACAATTAGGTAAACTAGATATCCAAATACTAATAACTACTTTATTGTTATTTATAAACTAACAGCAACTCTTCGAAAAAAAAACTATTAATATGACTTCTCTAATAATAATAATCCATGTTTACATATTTCAAACTGCCATCTTACATCATGTTTTATTCCCATAAATAACAAATTTATTAGAAACTCCTCACTACAAGTTGCGACTGTACATCAGATCGACGTCACACAGACGTCATATCGACCTAAGATAGACGTAACATCCACGTCATATAATGACGTCATTTTTGTTACTCGGCATACATCGCTAGTGCCCTAAAAATCCCGACATTATGACGTCACTATGTTCACTTGGTGGTATTATGGATTATAATTATAATAATTATTATTATGGCTACATCTGCGTAAAGAACCATTACCACTCATTAATAGGACCACAATCATGAGCTGCAATTCCATTATTATCACTAGAATCCTCTTCATACACTGGTTTGATGAATCCACTGAGTACAGTGGAACATTACATTCTACAAGTCCGGCATCGAAAGGAACTAAATGCCCTTTTTCATCATAAATACTAAAATGTGTAATCTTGTGTGTTGGAATCTCATCTAGTTCATCAATTACGTCCTCTTTACCCGTAAACAAAGACAGTTTCTCATGAGTTAAAGCTACAAACTCTTCACTGGAGTTGTTGAGATGACCATTGTAATACAAAATTTGATCAGAGTACTGGTTACATTTATCACAACGTTCTGGTGATGTTTTGGCAGGAACACCTATGTTGTTGTTCAATTTTTCTTCGAGATCGGCTGATTTCAATCTCTTTGCAATGTTCTCTTCCATTATATTATCTGGATTTGCAATTAGTACTTCAGCCATTCTTCTAGTATTATACTAACTAAACACTCTGACCACAGTTTAAAACTTCAAATGTAATTCATAAGACGATAATTCCTGAAACTTCGGATGATGTCCATTTAAAAAAGTTAACGTAAAAAAAAGCAAAGCACAGAAAATATAGCAGAGACAAAACAATGAAACTGGCGGGAAAACTCATGTCACGTGTTTTTCTGTCATAACAAATCTGTCAATCATCAATTTACTAATAACCAGTGATGAGAGGTATTGCTCCAAGCCAAACCAAATCATAGAAACAGATTCAGTCAAAAAATAATTCACTATTTTAAAACCAGCAGTGCTATAGCGTACAAAACCAGAAAAACATAAAAAACGATGAAATGTCAACTTACAGCCTAAATACTTCTTAGTGAGCAAATAGTACATTCTGCGTTTGCTCGCTATGGGCGCTGTGAGACTTCCATCTATGGGGGAGTGACTCAACGACACGACACGCTTGTTGATTGCAGAATGCCGAGATAGTCTGTCGAGGATACTCCTGAGATGTGTGGTGTAGTAACAGAGTAGCAAGATCACATCTGGATAATTGTGTATAGGTCTGCACGTACATAAAATCAGAGATGTTTGCTATGTGAGGAAATTATTAGTACCGCCCATGAAATATATCTGTTAGCTGTGCCAGACGGGTTATTTGTGTTGTCCTTTCTGTAAGGAGGTTATGTTTAAAGTTATTCTCCCCAGTTTTCTTGCTTTTCAAAATTTTTAGCCTCATTACTGGTAATCACCACCGGGCCCGCGTTTTGTGTAATTAAGCCACACCACAGAAAAATTAGGAATGACCTATCATGTATAAACCATTTTTGCGCTGCCTCACACTGGAAATAAAAACTAATGTGAAATCTAATAACTTTATTACATTCCATGAATATTCCTGTATGTACCATATTTAGTCTCTTGTTAGTTATAACATACTTCACCAACCAGAGATTATCTTTTCTTACCGCTCTCTTTTTTGAAAATCAGCAAATTTGCATATGTAATTTCCAGGTTAAAAACGAAAAGTAAATGCAGTGGAACCCAATGGAATCATCAACACAGATTATTAGCACACAAATTCTAACTGTGCACCTAAGTACAGCCATTTGTTACAAGCTATAGTATACAACTTGACCTCCAATAGTGCCATCTCTGAAGCAGATATTACATCACATCAGAGCCAAAGATTGATAGATGACGTTTAGGCAACACGTACAGATACGGAACGAATACACCACAAGTGTACAACAGTGCTAAGTTGACATCTTGTAGAATAATCTACATAATGTCACAAAAAAACTATAGAATGTCAAATATACCGACATAATGTCACTTTTTCCCCTTTTTGTCTTAAATACATACTTCGCTTGAAAATAAACAGCCGTCAACGATCAATATGTTCTGAATTCTTAAACAAATCATTCAAACGAGTCGTTGACACAGCTTTGCGAACTGAATCTACCAATAGCTTTCTTGAATCTACCTTTCCGTGGATATAACTGTCATGTGTCAATTCTGACGTTTTCCTGTTTCAAGTTTAAAGTAAATATAAACGTCATTTTCCCCAAATCAAATAACGGTTGAAAAAGAAAAAAGATTGTTTTGGATTCCTTGTATTTGGCTTTGGTAGTTTACTTTTTGTTGTGTTTTTTAGTACAAGTGTACCGTGCCAGCGTATCTATTCAGTTCTTCAACGGATTGAAGGTATTAAAGTTTCAGCAATAGGATATTTCCAAAAATGCCAAGAACCAAAGTAACTAGGAAGAAGGTGTTTCCTAAACAAGAACCTGGCGAACCAGAAAATGTATCCAGAGGCAGAATCACAAAGGAACTTAAAGAAAGATGTAGTACGTAATAGTATTATAGTCCTTTCAGAATCGAGTATTCATTCATTATTAACTCCATGCTTGTGTCCTACCAATATATTTTATTCAAGGTTTTGGATTTCGCAACTGCAGTTATACTATTTATTCCATTTTCAGTTTAAAGCTAGCTAGATAAGCAAGTACCAAATACTGTGTATTATTATTATTATGGTCTCTAGTTCATGGAGCATGTTGAGGCTACAAGCTCTTTCCATTTTCACCATTTTTTTTATTCTCTCTGATAAAGCATTAAGTTTTCCCTTTGTTTATGAAACATTTCATATTGTATATGACATGCCCCTACTCCTTGTTATTCCAGTTTGTGATACACTTGTAGAGAAAAAGGTGACGTTGCCATCTATCTTGATACATAAAAAACTCACAAGTTCACAAGTTTTCAGGAAAACAAAACTGAAATTGCTCAGGGTAGTATTCTTGGTCCTTTATTACAATTATCGTATTTCTAATTGACTGGGAACACATTACAAGCTCAGAGAATGAACGTGTGACTGTTGAGGATCTTGCAATATCAGGAGCAAACTTTTTTTGATAGTTTTCCTGTTACAGGTTATTACTTACTGAAACTAAAACTAATGTATTAATGTTCAGAACAAGACAAAATAGAGTTGAAAAGCATGCAATATAAAATTTCTTGGTGTTCATTTAAATGAATTGCTGGACTGGTCACACCACATCTGTAAGATATTACAAAGATTAAGTTGTTATGGAACCATGATAGTTACACGATTAAAAAAAGTTTGCAAACTTTTAATCAGTGCTTAGGTTTCAACTTATTTTCTAGGGTAGTAATAGTGGGGTACGTAGAATCTTTTGTTATACAAAAATGGGTGCTTGGAATAGTTAGGAATATGGTATATAAAGATTGTTGTAAAGGTACTTTATATCCAATGACCTCTTGACAGTATATGTACTATACACATATGAATGTTTGATTTTCTTTTTTAAGAGCATATATGTTTGACCTACAAGTGTATTATACCTAAAACACAAGAAATTTAAATGTAAGTTATCCTAGGCATAGACTAAATTTAACTGAAAAGACTCAATATTACAGATGTTTGGAATTTTTTAACTGCCTGCCAAGCACAATAAAATTGATCACCATTGAAAACATTTATTAATGGTAATATAGAGCCATATCGTGTAAAAGACTATGTCACAGACTGAAGACCTGCACTTTTTTTCGTAATGCTGTTTCTCTTCATATTCTATGTACATTTTTTGTACCTGTTCAAGAGCTCTACTGTGATTATAATTGGACATATTGGTTGTTGTTATTTTTATTTAAAACTCCAGGAGTTCATTTGAACACATTGTTGGCTCCTAACAACAGCTACAGGCAGATAGCACAAATGCAAGAGTATCTTGATTCTTGATATAATATGTTGTTTTCTAATTTTTCTAACTTTTTTCTTATTGCCTTGCATCCCCCCACTAAAACGTATTTACCCCCAATCAACTATAATTTCTCCTAGCTGTCTAATTTTCGCCAATTGAGGGTTCATCATCTCAATTGACAAACATGCATTACTGCCTTATTCAAAAAGAATCTACATATCCATGTCTAACACGATAGGAATATGGAACAACATCAAAGAATATTGAAGTATGTATAGTCGATTGCCAAAATTAGACATAGTTATGATACAGTGTGGACTAGAAAGATGTACGAATTCCAATTCCAAAACTGTATTGCTCGTGACACGCACGCGTTAACGAGACACGGATAGTGGGATAAGTAGCTTGGTACTCGCAAATTTAGTCGCCATGGATCGTTTCACCAGTGAGTAGCATGCGTTCTGTGTTGAGGCTAATTACAAAAATGGAGATGTCTGCTATCCCGTAAGCGATGTGCCAGCGAGTTTTCTCGAATTTGAAGTCGAGATTCTAGGAGTGCGTATTTTTCAATGGCTATCATTTCAATGATGATATTTTTTTAAAATAAAATTCCCATGTGCCTACTTTATTAAAAATATAAATTATCCTGGCTCACCCTGTATTTGCAGAAAATGGAGATGTCCGCTATCCCGTGAGCGATGTGCCAGCGAGTTTTCACGAATTTGAAGTCGAGATTTTAGGAGTGCGTACTTTTCAAAGGCTAACATTTCAATGATGATATTTTTTAAAAATAAAATTCCCATGTTCCTACTTTATTAAAAATACAAATTATATTGGCTCACCCTGTATTTGCAGATTGATTTTGAATGTATCACCACAATGTTGTTTGGAAATTGTAAGATATTCATTACATCACACTACTGATGTTAAGCACATTATAATTACAATATGTAATTGCTTACAGGACAGTATGATCTCAACAAAATTAACGACTTTTACGATAGAATGCTAACTAAAATCGAGGAAAACTGCATGACAAGGATCTTGAAAATACCTCAGAAATTCAGGAACGTGACCATTGAGGATATTGTAAGTATTGTTTTGTTATACATCTTGAGAAGTATTGTTAGTAGTATTATCATTTTGACACAGGGTCACCTAGGAAATGACAATACTCAGCTGTCCAATTGATATCAAAGGAGATGGGTTGAATGAATAATTTTTTTTAGTAGATACTATAGGAACTAATTTTGAACATTTTCATCATACTTAGATTTAGGCCAAAAACCGACCTTAATAACACCCCTCCTTTGATTTGCCATTTATTGTTCATGAAACGTTTTTCTTCAAATACTGGGGTACTGCTTAGCACTTATTTACTATAGTTTGTAGACCTACATTACTATTAAAATTAAAGGAGTAATGGGATATTTTAGAGTGAACTACCATCGTTCAACACTACTGCAGCACCATCTCTATTAGAGAGTACAACTCTTCTTTCAACCACGAAACAAACGAAAAAGAGAAGCCTATCATGCAATGATGATGGTAAGTTATTTTTTGAGTGGCCTTATTCAAATCCTATGTCTACAGGTGTCGCTGAAACGTCAGTAATTTGTTCAACATCTGATCGTTTTATCCGTTGACCAGAATAATGTGGAAAGATTTATTTTATCATAGTAAAGGTTATGTATATACACCTTAGGGAAAACCATTGTTATACATGGGAAATCATTTCTTGGCAACAGCGCATCGGCTCGTCTACTTTCATCGCTATTCGTACATATTTCCTACCGTTAACCGCAGACCTGTATCACGAATGAGAATAATAGGCAGAGACAAAGAAATTATTTTACGAAAATGCGTTATATTTTTACGATTTTGTCGTCACCAAATCTCTGTTTCTCAAAATGTACGTCTATTGTAGAATTTTCAGCAAACTAAGCAAGAAACGTGATCTAGTATTTACTCAACATTACGGATTTCTCGAAATACATTAAAAATGTGACCTAGATACCTAACTGCCCCAAGCTCTTTAAATATAACACCTTAAACCAGGGTTACCAGGTGCTCATTCACGTTGATTGTCATGTTGTACTGCGCAAGTCAGCAAACAATCTGGCGTAATAAACGTTAGGAATCATCAGGTATTGCCAGATTCCCGAATACCGGGCACCATAGTAACCGTTATAGTTGTCCTTCAAAGTTGTCAAATCGCCCCTATGGCGCAAATTCTCCACACCAGGCAACTGTGCTATAAACAAACCCTGTTTATCACTACTATTTGATAGTCATATGGTAGTTGTAGCCCTATCTAGCGGTCCATGATTTCTCTCAATACTGTTGTATCTCTACTGGCAACAAGAATAGGGATTACAAAATCATTTATACAACAATATACAAATATGAAAAATATGATTTGAACCATGAAACATTAATACAATTTTAATAGTTTGAACTTTTTTCATTTTTGGAATACTCTTATGTGGAATCCGCAGCTATTTTTCCCGAAATTTGGGTAGACTTAGATTTCTTAGAAATATGACATATTGGTATCGGCAACTCTGCGAATGGGAGAAACAAATCGCATTTGTTGAGCGCATCCGTCTAAGCGGTAGGCGCCAGCGCCCGTTCTGCCATCTCTCTCTTTTATCACTCTTCTACTTTACCCCGTTGTCCGTCACACTCCGACGCTGCCACATAGGATCCTACAATCGAGTGTCTTTCACGCACCTACATACTTTTGTATATTTCCATCTCTCTTCCTCATCATAATGTATAATAATGTTTTTTCCCAAGGTGTATGTCACCCATTAAGCCGTCATTTGCTTTCTGTACATGTGTTTACTTTGGAGGAAAATATGTTATCAGTATGTGTTTATAAAAACATCAGTCCACATCATTGCTTGGAGTTACGTTCGTATAAAGTTGGGACTTTTCTTCTTAGACTAAACCACGATAGCAATACCAAATCTAATTTACGGCATAACAACACCGAAAGCGTAAAACAGAAATGAAAAAAATATTCACTATCCATTTGGTAAGGAATCTGGTAAATACTGCCCTGTCACATGTTTTGTTTGTAAACACTGTTTGAAGTTGTTGCTGTTCGATTTGAAAGACACGAATTTGTTTATCTCTTCCTAAATCTGCAAGATTTGAGGCTGTCTAGGACTTCAACTATGTTCAATCAGATGGATTTTGCACAATATAAACAAACATATGCATGAAAAGCAACATCGACGACGATGGGGACGTTCTGAGTACGCTCGCGGAGTATCAATAAGATATTTAAGATAGGAAGATATTGAAGAAGAAAAGTCTCAATTTTGAGGACACCCTATACAGTAGCGGACAAAAGTTTGGAAACAAATATTAACATTATTATGGAACAGATAATATACTAAGTGACATATAAATCCGAACACCCAGTTTAAATGGTTTTATTTTAATAAAAGTTGGTGAATGTATTTATCTTACTGTAAATAACAAGTGAAACAATTTTCAGCCTTATCAGTTGGACATTCCGGTTTTTATACTGCTTTTTTTTAATTCACTAACGCTCTAAAAATGAATATTTCAGCCGCAGTAAAGAATTAACGTTGGCGGATTTTGGTTCTTGACATCCTTTACGATCGGTTACGATGCCTAGAGTACGGAGACCTGTACGATTTCGTCAACTTAGTGAGTTTGATAGGGGCCATATAGTGGGACTTCGGGAAGCTGGACTTTCATTTCGGGCAATTGCAGTTAGAGTGCAAAGAAGTATAGACACTGTGGTTAGGTGTTGTCAGGCATGGCTTCGAGAAGGCCGTACCCAAAGAACAAGGGGCACTGGACGCCGCCGTAGAACAACAGACCGTGAAGATCGCCGCCTAAGATTATTGGCCTTAAGGGACCGTTTCTCCACTACCAGGTCCCTTGCAAATGAATGGTTTGCAGAACACGGAAGACCTATTGGCATGCGAAGTGTTTACCGACGAATGAGAAGTTTTGGCTTGTTTTCATACCGGCCACACTGGGTCCTCCCTTTAACTCGAGAACACCGACGTAATCGCCTTGAGTGGTGCAGACAACGGTCACTCTGGGATCAGGAATGGAACAGTATTGTCTTTAGTGACGAGTCTCGATTTTGTTTAGGCATGCACGATGGTCGTGCCAGGGTTAGAAGGCGACGTGGTGAAAGGAGGAATCCACAGTTTTTTGTTGAAAGACATGTTCATCACACTGTTGTAGTTATGGTTTAGGGTGCTATAGCTTATGGTTCCAGGTCACCTTTAATCATCATCAGATGTAACATGAACGCGCAGCGTTATATCCACGAAGTTCTAGAACCCCATCTTTTACCCTATCTTGACACCCTGGCAGATCCAACTTTCCAACAAGACAATGCCCGACTACATGTTGCAAGAGTCACAATAGACTTCTTTCAACATAATGATGTCACATTGTTACCATGGCCACCAAGATCTCCCGACTTATCCCCAATTGTGCACGTGTGGGATATGATGGGTAGGAGATTGCTCAATTTGCAACGTCCTCCTCAGACTCTAGAAGCACTTCGAGAGGAGTTGGTGGTTGCCTGGAATGATATACCACAGGAGGACATTGACCACCTGATCAGAAGCATTCCTAGGCGCGTTGGAGAATGCGTAGCACATCAAGGTGCATCCACACATTATTAAAGGTCAAAGGGCTTTAAAGCAGTGCAATCATTTTGAAATTTTTATCATTTACTTATTATGCTTCATTAAGTACTTATACAGAATTTTATTAAAATAAAACCATTTAAACTGGGTGTTCGGATTTATATATCACTTAGTATATAAATATTAGAGTCTACCTTTGTAAAGTGTGGAAACATGTCAGTTTTGCTGTATTTATTCATTCTGGGATACTCTGATATTGCGTGCGGTAAATATATCAGTGAGAATGGCAAAAGTAAAAGAATTTTCAAAAGATTTAAAAGACAAGTAATTGAATTATTTAGAAGTGGTGTCAGAAATGTGTTGACATTTCTCAAAGATTAAAAATGAACACAGGGACGATTTCGAAACTTATTAGTAAATATCAAGAATACGGATCAACAGCAACGCGGCCCAGATGCAGAAGACCGAAAGAAAAAAAAACGATTATGTTTTGAATCGCTACATTAAACGTTTGTCCCATGAAGATCCTCGTATGCCAGCCACACAGATTTTCAACAAAATCGTAGAATAGGGTGCCGAGAATGTTTCTGTCAGAACAGTACAGAGATGCTTCGTGAATTTTGGACTTTTTGGCAGGCGTCCAGTGCAAAAGCCTCTCTGTTAAAAAAAATCGTATCGCTCGGCAACCCGACCGCGGCTCAACAGCCCGAAAAACATAAATTACAAATTTAACTTGTTTGGATCTGACTGTACGGCATACGTGAGACGTCCAATACGAAAATGACTCGACAAAAAGTATCAGTTGCCAACAGTTAAGCATGGTGGAGGCAACATCATGGTTTGGGGCTGTTTTTCTAAATCTGGAACGGGTCCAATTGTTAAAATTGTTCCGAAAATGGATCAAAACTTTACAATGATATTCTTAGTGAAGAAGAAATGCCTGTACGATGGAGATTCCTGCAAGATAATGACCCCAAGCATACCTCAAAATTCGTAAAGGATTGGTTAAGAGTAAAAAATGTTAATGTTCTTACATGGCCTTCGCCATCCCGATACCCAAACCCTATAGAATATCTCTGGGAGCATGCTCAAATAATAAAACTTTTGAAAATAGGAACGATTTATTTGATTGTGTAAAAACTATTTTTCAAAATACCCCAACAGACGTCTGTAAAAAATTGGTGTCTTTTATGAACAGCAGATGTCAGGCAGTTAGATAGATGGATCTTTATTTCCAACAGGTACAATCACTCAATTACAGGAAATAGTTCAGAAAGAAAACAAGAGCAACACATAATCCTAGTATATAAGAAAAAACACAATCAAATTAATAATACAGCTAGATCAAAAAGCCAAAATATTAAAAAAAAAGAATAACTCTAACCGCAAGAAGGTCATTACATGCCATGGGAAATGGCCAGATAGCGTTGTTTAAAGTCATTTCTAGATGAAGTATTCACATCACAATATTCACCTAAAGAATTGAAGTTCTCACACAGAACCGTAACCGGCGATTTTCTCAAGATATTTGTTCGAGCTAATTCGCAGTAAAATGTCATTTGGTGACGCAAATTGCGCACACGTACATGAAAGTTAAGCTTACTTAATATATATTCACATATGACATCATTGTGCAAAACATCATAAAGAAAATTTAAACTACTTATAACTCTCCTACTATTTAGCGACATATAGTCAAATGTATTCATGAGTACAGAATAATCACATCCTCTCTCCGGATATTCGCCTGTCCACTTGAAATGCAGAAATTTCAAAAACTTTCTTTGTATTCGCTCAATACGGCTTATATGAACCGAATAGATGGGATACCAAATTAAAGAACAACTTTCCAATTTAGATCGAACGTACGAAGAATAAAGAAGTTTCAAAACATGTAAATTGGAAAATTGTCTACTGTTTCGGATGATGAAGCCCAACATTCGGTTGGCTGATGTTGTGATATCATTTATATGATTACAAAATGACAAATTGCTATCAAAAGAACACCGATATCTTTAATTTGATAGCACCTATTCAACTCATTCTCGCTTATTTTGTAGGACCATGTTATTGGTTCTTTCTTTCTGGTGTACGTTCATATGAAGCATTTATCTACATTAACTTCAAAATGATTAGCATTACACCAATCCAAGACAAGGTCAATGTTGCCTTGTAAAATTTGGCAGTCCGAATTTGAGCTTATGTTATGAAAAATTTTGAGGTCATCCGCATAGAGCAACTTTTGGCATGTAATCATCATAGCTAGGTCGTAACTTTGAAGTTGAGTCATTAATTTTCAGATAATGATTGTAGAAGGAAGATAAACCAAAATATGTGTGTTAAATAAAAAAAAATTAAAAAAAATTGTTTACCTTGTTTTATAAAGTATCCTCCCGACAAGTATTTCAGTGCGGACCTGTATTTGATCGTGAGGTCTTGGAGCACCGGCATGCAGTCCCCTGTAAGGTCTTAAGTCACCTGATTCACGAACCCGTTGTACTACATTAACAAAGGCACGAGGGGTTGGTTGCACTCGATTGGGAAACCGATCCGCAAAATATGTGCCATTTTTTATTTCGTTTGAGCCACGCAGCAAACACCACTATTCACTCACGCGTTACCGACTGACAAAGACTGAATAAAAACATCGTGATCAGCGTTTCAAATTCTTTCGCTTTTTTGTTTCCGATGCGATGAACCGATAAGGCGGAGTATATCCGTTGTCGCCAAACACGAGCACATAATATTATCATTGAGACAGGGCGGTACTCAAACTTCTAAAGGGCTATAACTTTGTTACTTTAATTTTACCACAAAAATGTTAAAGGAAAAAAACATTTCTTTTGATCAGATCTACTCACTGTTAAAATAAATGACTCAACTTCGAAGTCACCCTGTATAACAAGAACAATAGAGGTCCTAAATTCGATCCTTGGGGATCCCAGATGTTGGCGAGAAAATATCAGAGTGATGCCCTTCATATTCCACAAATTGCACACGATTAAATAAATACGATTTAAGCAAGCTTAGAAGACGTGCCGAAAACCCAAATCCTTGTAATTTTTTCATTAAAATGTATAAGTCTACTCGGTCAAATGCCTTCTGTAAATCCATGTAAACTACATCCGTCTGTCCTCTGCTATCAAGGTTTTCACTAATGGATTGAGTAATACATAGCAGATTTGACGTACAAGATTTTTTCTCTTGGAAGCCATGCTGTTCTGCGACAATTAGGTTTTTGTGTGAATATAAATCGCTTCATAAACAATAATTTCAAATAGCTTTGAAAAGTTGGATACTGCTACGATTGGGCGGTAATTTTTAATTAAAGCTCTATCACCCTTCTTCAGCACCGGGGTAACTCTGGATATCTTCCAGTTGTCTGGAAAGATGCCCGTCTTCAAAATAATGTTGAACAGATGTATTAACCGTCTGAGTAGCGCATGTATGCAATCCTTCACTAAGAGGCTGGGTATTTGATATAATCAACTTATTGTTTAACTTTTTCGCCGCTTTAAGAACATCAGCTTCACATATTTAAGGTAAATCTATAAACAAGGAGTTTCCATAATCCAGGATTACATTTTCACTAAGGTTTTGATCAGGAGGTGTATAAACTGTCGAAAAATACTGTTTAAATGAGTCAACAATATCTTGGGGTTTTGTTAAGGTAGTTTCATTATATTTCATCATACCAGGTAAACGGGATATTCCTTTTTTACTGTGGATAAAATTTCAAAACTGAGAAGGATCTGATAAAATATTGTTTTCTGCTGACAAAATAAAATTACGATATTCGTTGTCAGCTTGAGTTTTTATCGTCCCCGGCAGTGTTGAATGCTGAATGCTATGCTACTAAATATTAGCTAAACAGTATTTTTTAAACCTTTTCGTAGAGTTATTGTATTTAATTTTGAAATAGAAAATTTGTTTCCAAACTTTGGCGTCTCATTTTCGGTCATAAACTAATATGACGGTATTTTAATGCTAGTCTGTAGTACCACGGCAAACCCAAATTGTCATTTGTATCCTCAAGACTATAAAAAACTATATGAGAAAAATAGCACACTTTTTAAAAATTACCAAGAATGTTTCGAAACTTTTGTCCGCTACTGTATACCTCTCTTTTTTCTGCTTATCAAATCACATCAAATAATATCCAGTAACAGTGTGCATGGTGTTTGTTCTAATTTAACCAAGTCATCGCTTCTAATCTGGGTTCTCGGTGGTTTGTCTACCTTCCTCACAGGCTACATGACGTGTGATAGTGGTGCATCTTCAGATGTCCGTCAGTCGCGCAGCAGAGCCAAGAAGAAAGTCGCGGAACCTTCCGCCAGGCCGACACGCTCTTTGTCCAGGACCACATCGACAAACAGATTGGGCAAGTTAGGCGCCGGAAAAGATCCTGTAGTTTGTTCGACGCCAATGAATCAGGCGACTAGAAACGATATCGGAACAATCACTCCTAAGGTGGGTTCATCATAGTTACGCTAAATTGTTTCGGTGTTCTTCGTCAATCCGTCAAGTTCGTAGTCATCAGCAGAGCAACTGCTCAGTGCTAGTGAATTTCTACAGGGTGTTTCAGTTTATTGTTGCATAACTTTAAGATTCGATAGAACTTTTAAAATTAATGCATAAAGTCTATATAAACATGGGTCGAAAAATGCGTGGCTTCCGAAATACAGGGTGTTCAAATTTACTTTCTAAAATAGTTTTTTTTAAATATTTCGAACAATATTTGATGTATAACAGTGAAAATTGGTATACAAGGGTTTTTTGGTACGACAAAACGAACCATGGCCATAGTTTTACTGTACCTGTAGTGTATTAAAAATTTTTCTGACTGCAATTTTTTGCTTTTTGAATAAAAATACTGATTCTTCGCACTTTCAACATAAAAAGCTCTCCTGTGAGTTTTCGTTATAGTTAGCCGTTTTTGAGATATTTCGATTTTTAAGGTTCGATGCATTTTTAATTATTCATGATAAAATAACGTTAAAAAGTCAGTATCTCGATAATTTTTAGAAGTAGGCTGTGCCTGCAAATATTTTTGAAATTGAAAGCAGAATAAGGTTAAACGTCAATTAGTTGACAGTTAGTTTTGTTGTCTGTTGAAACCTGAAACGTTTTTTTGCAATTGTGAATGCACGAAATTTAGTTTCTTTTACCTGTTTTTTTGTATGTTTTATAAAAATGCCATTTTTATTCTCCAATCAAGAGTTAGCGGATATTCATTTTGTGTATGGCTTTGTAAATGGAAACGCAGCAGAAGCAGCCAGAGAATACGCACGAAGATTTCCAAACGGACGACATCCAACTCGCTCAGTATTTGTAAGAGTGCATCGCCAAATAATTGAAAATGGTTTTGGAAATCTCCAAAGTTTTTAAGTAACGTTTTATGGACCGATGAGTCATGCTTCACTAGACGTGGAGTGGTAAATGTTCATAATCAACATATTTGGTCGCATGAAAATCCGCATGCAGTTCGGGAAATAAATTTTCAGCATGAATTTAGTGTGAACGTGTGGATTGGTATCTACCGTAATCGACTATTTGGACCCTACCTTTTGCCTGCAAGGTTAAATGCTGCGACCTTCTTGGAATTTTTAAAGGCTGAACATGCAAATATGTGGGATGATGTTATGTTAGATTTAAGAAGATTGGCCTGGTTCCAGCTTGATGGTTGTCCAGCTCATTATTCGAGAATAGTTAGAAACTGGCTGGACGAAAATTATCCAGAAAGATGGATCGACCGTGGAGGACGAGTCGCCTGGCCTCCACGATCCCCTGACCTAAATCCATTAGATTTCTTTGTGTGGGGATTTCTAAAAGAAAAAGTGTACCAGACTTCCGTAACCAGAAGAGATATGCTAATAGACAGAATCAGGAATGCAGGTGATGAAATACGGCCTTATTTGAATAATGCTATACCACGTTCGATCATTCGTAGATGTGAATTGTGTATTGAACAATTGGGTTTACATTTCGAGCAACTACTTTAGATTTTGTATGTTTGTCCTAACTATCCAATAGCATTTTAGTTGTAAATAATTAATTTAAGTTGTTAAAAATAATATTGGAAAATTAAACAAATTAATATTCTGTTTTTTGTGTTTATTTGGAGTTAGGAATTATTGCTGTGTTTAAAACACAATCTAAACGATCATCTTAATTACTTGTAATGCCGAAATCGAAAATGTAAAAAAAATATTATTTTCCCATAAATAATTAAAAATGCATCGAACCTTAAAAATCGAAATATCTCAAAAACGGCTAACTATAACGAAAATTCCCAAGAGAGCTTTTTTATGTTGAAAAGTGCGAAGAATCAGTTTTTTTATTCAAAAAGCAAAAAATTGCACTAAGAAAAATTTTTCGGTCATTTTAATACACTACAGTAGAGAGCGCCCTCTAGCGGCTACAGTAAAACTATGCCCATGGTTCGTTTTGTCGCACCAAAAAACACTTGTATACTAATTTTCACTGTTATACATCAAATATTGTTCGAAATATTTAAAAAAAACTATTTTAGAAAGTAAATTTAAACACCATTTTTCGACCCATGTTTATATAGACTTTATGCATTAATTTTAAAAGTTCTATCGAATCTTAAAGTTATGCAACAATAAACTGAAACACCCTGTATAGGTCACAATCGTTGGGACTTCTCAGAAAAAACATTTCGTTTCTAATAACAAAGCTAATGTGTGGTGAAGCAACAGCGAAAATAAAAAAAAACATAAACGAAAAAGTACTCATCGTTCATTGACAAGAAATTTCAAGTACAGCTCTGTTCAAAGTTGAATGAATGCAGCGGATTGTTGAACGCCCACACGTAGTTCGTCAATCGTGTTCACCTTAGTTTTATACACTAAACATTTCGACCCAATCAAAAAATAAAATTGCGAAGGATCTTAAACGATATGCATGCACTCGCGAAGCCTTTTAGAACCGATTTGTAAAGGTTTTGTTAACCAACGCCTGGATTGGGTACTGATGCGCATCGTACATGTTCAAGTTTGATCTGACCCAGGTGCAGGACCGTATTAGGTTTTTTATTTTTCGGAGCCAAACATCTTGTAGTCTAATCTAAACATTTAGGGTGGCCCATAAGTCCTTTGAGCTGGAAAAAAAGGAATAAAACCAAACTAGTTACATTATGAAGAATTATTATATTTAGTTATCATCTTTATTGAATGGGAATTATGTTTTAAAAATCACATCGTCTAAATGCAATCCATTACGATCACGGCACTCATATAAACGACGTCTAAAATTGTCGATGACTGCGCGGCAAGTCAACACTGTAATGCTTGCCATTTCTCTTCGGATATTTTCTTTCAGGACATCAACTGATCGCGGAGTGGTGTCGTACACTTTACTCTTGAGGTAGCCCCATAAAAAGAAGTCCATTGGGGTCAAATCTGGACTACGTGGTGGCCAGGAAATGTCTCCTCTTCGAGAAATTACTTTGCTGGGAAAAAGTTGACAGACGACGGGCATAGAAGTGTTGGAGGTGCGGGCAGTTGCTCCGTCCTGTTGAAACCAGGTCTGCGTATTATAGCCTGGAAAATTCTGCAACGCTGGTGTCAAAAACTCTTCTATCATTGCTACATACCGCTCCGAAGTAACAGTTAATGCGCGACCTCTGTCGTCCTCAAAAAAATAAGGGCCTACGATGCCATGCGCTGACATAGCAGCCCAAACTGTAACTTTAGGGCTGTGTAAGGGCTTCTGATGCTTACGCCTTTGGATTTTCGGGGCTCCAATAACGGCAATTTTGTTTATTTACATGCCCGTTTAAATGGAAGTGAGCCTCGTCCGAGAACAACACATTATTGAGCGAAGAAAATCGATTCAACATTTCATTCGCAAAGTTTAGTCTCTGAATAGCGTCATTATCTTTTAATTCCTGCATTAACTGAATTTTGTAAGCGTGCAGACGTAAATCTTTCCTTAAAATCCGCTGTAAAGATGTTCTGGGTACGTTTAGTGCACTGGAACGCTTACGAGTAGACTGGGTAGGATTTTGACGAACAGACTGTGCCACAATGTTGATGTTTTCTTCAATACGAGTTGTCCTTGGTCGACCCCACCGCTGTTTATCTAACGTCGAACCAGTCTCTTCGAACTTAGCAACCCAGTTATTAATCGTTTCAGCTGTTGGACACTTTGTAAAATTGTGTAAGTTGTGTCTCGATATTTACGCCGCGCAATGGTTGCCGAATCATTATTATGATAAAACGCGCGCACACAAAAAGCACGATCCGCTCCAGTGAAACACTCCATGGCGACTGAATTCCCAGACACTGAAGATACTGCCCCCACCTCGCCCGCGCCGCTCACGCTCACCCGTTAAATTTTATTCAAATTTGAAATTTCAAAGGACTTATGGACCACCCTGTATTAGCAAATTTCCCAGAAATTATTGCAAAGTCTGCTTTTATGTATGCAAGTTGTTCAAGGAGGTATTTAACAGGTCAGCAGCCCTCGTATATTTGCGTGAAAAATTAATAATGTCAATGTTTCAGTGTAACATAAAACAACCGCAGTTGATACTGAGAAGACCGAGAGGTGGCGAGGTGGCCTTCTCTCAAGAAGGCAGTCCGTTGATGCCTGGTGCCTATGTGGGCGACAATTTGGTCAACTTAAACATCCCCCTGGACGATGGCAGAGTAATCAGCCTTCTGCCCGAGATGGGCACCATCAGGGACTCCATCATACCACAGTTTGACCCGGAAACGTTGCAACAGTTAGATCGACTACGTAGGAATTTGGACAAGATGTGTAAGCTTGGAAGTGGACGTAAATAGCAGTGTTGTACCAATGAATGTAGCAAGCATGAATGGTTTTATGTCCAACGACGATTGTCTCCGATTTTTACTATACTGACAAGTTTTTTGGATCCTCATAGCAGTCGCGGTGTCCTGGCTTCAGGCTTCTGCCGGCGCGACTGCTTCGGTATAAAAAAATACACTAGCATAAATTTTGATTGCAAGTTTTTTTAATAAAATTTTCTGTTTTTCAGTATTGATTCTTTTTAATAAATACTCTTTATCCTTAAACCCTTACCGACACTGCTAGTCGGCAGAAGATCAAGGTACACAGATGTGTGCCAAGATCCTACGCCTCTCACGATTGGAACCTCACTCAGATGTCATTAGCAAAATCTGGAATGTAACCTTTTACTATACTACAACTATTTAAAACTGTAATGACTCATACGCGTGATCAACACGTGATCAGAGCTCGATCCCGGCTTCCTTCCAGTACAGCCGTATAGCGTACGACATATGTCGTTTCTGTGGCTTTGCGGTGGTCAACAGCACAGACAGAGATGGAAATAATGGCTGATTGTTCTCCGCCGGTAGAACCAATGAAATCAAAGACGCGCCTCGACCGGCAGACTCATAGGCGTCGGCAACGCATTGGAACGTGTTTCGTTGAGCGATCGCATATTGTGTGTTTTTATAAGAATTGTTGTGTGATTGTTATTGTTGTGGTTTCTGTGGTTACTGTTTTGGTTATACTTAACCATGGAGAGTACAAATGGCACGAGTGGAAGTACTGAAAGCCAGGGAACAAGTAGACGGCTTCGTAAAGCACTGAAGAGGGACGCGAAAGAAATCGTGCTCAACGTGTTCAATTATCTGAACAGAACTATGTCGCAGGGGGATGCACTCGCGCGTTGTGAAAGTACGACAGGCGTTCCAGAGTGGACCATTCGCAGGGTGGTGCATGAAAAGAAGAAAACTGGAGCTACTACTGATCCAAAGTTTAATTTGAAGGGGCGAAAGGCCGTTAAATTGGATGACGATAGCAAAATTGCGTTAAGGCGAACCGTACATTCATTCTTCTTTAGGAATGAGATACCAACCCTCAAGGCTGTACATGCAGCGATCAAGGAAAATGAAATTATACCCCAAATGAGCGTCGAGGTAATGAGGAAATCCCTGCACGAAATTAATTTTCGTTACGAAACGCGTAATCGGAAGTCAGTATTGATAGAGAGACCTGAAATAGTCGCCTGGCGTCGAAAATACCTACGCGAAATGATTGAATATAGGCGACAAAGCAGAAAAATCTATTATTTGGACGAGACATGGGTAAATGCAGGTCACACAGTTAAAAAAACCTGGATAGACAAAAACGTAGTGAGTAACCGACAAGCAAGCATTGGAGGTTTGTCAACAGGTCTTCGTGGACCGTCAGGGAAAGGTCAAAGATTGATCGTAACTCATATTGGTAGCGATAGTGGCTTTTTAGAAGAGTGTGACTTGATTTTCGTCTCTAAGAAAGGAGGTGATTACCATGACGAAATGAATGCCAGCTGCTTCGAGAGCTGGTTTCAAGGGGTGCTTCAGCGAGTTGAGCCCAACTCTGTGATCGTCATGGATAATGCTTCCTACCATAGTCGTCGAGAGCCGAACGTGTACCGACTATGGGATCTCGAAAAAGTGACATGCAGCAATGGTTGCGCGAAACAGGAATCCCGTTTGACGATTCATGTGTGAAAGCGGAATTGTATGAAAAAATTAAACAGCACAAACCTGCGAACATTAGTTACGTGACTGATGAGATGGCCCGTCAATGTGGTGTCACTGTGCTGCGGTTACCTCCCTACCACTGTGAACTGAACCCAATAGAGCTCATCTGGGCTCAAGTGAAGGGTTATATTGCGCGCTATAACACAACCTTCAAATTACCAGACGTTAAGGTTTTACTTGAGACTTCCATACAGCTAGTAACGCCCGAAGCTTGGCAGAATGCTATCCGTCATGTTGTGAAGGAAGAAACAAAAATGTGGCAGCTTGACCACCACATCGACACCATCATAGAGCCAGTTATAGTCAATTTCAACGAGGAAAGCGATAGCGACAGTTTATTACTGTCAGATGTAAGTGGAAGCGACGATGAATAAAGGTAATTCCCAAATTTTTGACTTACAATATGTTTCAAACCACTCTTTATTAAGCATGTGACAAATCTAGTTCACCCATGTTAAACATTCATACCCCGCCTATGAACAGCCGACTACTGGTAGTTAAGTGATGTTCACGTGAACATCGATGAGTCATTACAGTTTTAGATAGTTATAGTATACCTCTAAAGGTCAATTTATAAGCGCTGAAGTTCCGCACTACTGCTGTACCACTGCCGTAGTGCAGAACTTGATTTATGCGCTTGACAATCTGTTTATAAACAGGAATTCCGCAACCCGACACTGCACATCAGCAGAAGATCAAGGCACACACACACACTCTCCTACCCTGTGCGATCCCTCGACCACCCTCGTTTCAGGAAACCTCGCACCTTGAGGAGGGGGCGAGTAACTGGCTCTTGCCGCCACCGGCTCGAAATGAGGCAACGTGACCCGAGTACTGCACTTGTTTTCCCCGAGTGTGTGCTACCGCCACCCCAATCCCCAATTTTGCCCCTTTTGCCTAAAGTGACTCGATCGCGGAAGCACGTGGTGGACGTTTCATCCAACTGTCGGTTCTCGAGTTTTATGGACGGCCTCTTTCTTGGGGGTCCAGCGCTGGGGGCTTTGACCTAAGCCCCACATTAAGGTTGGTGAGCCTTTGCTCCTTCCTCGTCGACTGGAGTCATTCTGTCAGTCAGTTGGCTGTTTGTCTTCGTCTCCTGAGGTTAGCCTCGAGTCCATGCTTGACTCTGGCCACCTCAATCGATAGGCTTCTTTTTGTACACGGGCTGTTCTTTCCCCTATTGAGCGTACAACTGTTGTCGGTCTTCTCCGTTTTTCTTTGGCCTCATCAGCTGCTAGGGCCAAATGTCTTTTTGTTGCAGCTGGCTTTTCGGTCTTTTCAAGGCACACAGAGTCTTCTTAACAAAACCCCACTGTAGAGAGCAGACAAGCTGACGACGAATCCAGAAACAAATACAGGGTGGCGCATCGAAAACGAAACAGACGCATTTACTGGCAGCTCAGTTTTTTTTTTGGAAAAAAGCTCAGACCCGTCGATGTTGTTTTCGAGGGAGACACAAGTCTGGCAAAAAATCACGTTAACACGTGCAGCCTGCTGGGCGAGGGCGACACCAACCCTAAAATCTTAAATGGGTAGGGGGGTCGAGAGATACCTTATTTTAAAGGGCTTTCAATTCCCTTTATAATGATGTAAAATACATGAGCTTCAGTTCAGTAGTATTGAAGATTTATTGATTTAAAGCTTAAAGTAGACTTTAATAGGTACATCAGGTTAGTTTGTACTACTTTCAGAAGAAATTTGACTAAATGAATTTACTTAATAAGTAAATGCTTTTTTTCACTACGCCCATGGTTTGTTTATAATTTTGTTGTTGAAAATAGCTATTAGAGCGTTTTTTGTGGCAAAAAAGTTATTTCTTGAAGAAAGATAAGGAAATATCTCGTACTTGTAACCCTTTATTACATAAATTAACCATGGTATATTCCACAGCAGAAAAAATTGAAATTATCGAAATATTTTTCGGAAATAATCAGTGCGCTAATAGAACAGCAGAAATACTTAATGAGCGACATGAGAACAGCGTGCATCGAAAATATGTTCTAGAACTTGTAGCTAAATTTCGGCAAACTGGGTCAGTCGCCAATAAAAAACGCAACATTGAAAATCCCAAAAGGAACGAAGCAATAGAAGTGGGGGTTTTAGGGCAAATTTATGTAGATCCTACGTTAAGTACCTGCAAACTGGAGACTGTGTGTGGTGTTAGTCGACGTACTGTCCAACGGATTCTAAAGGCCCATAGTTTTCATCCGTATAAAATTCACCTTGTACAAGAACTTAATGAAGACGATTTTGATCGACGATTACAATTTTGTGAAGATATGAGTGAACGAATTATAAACGATGAATATTTTCTATTCAACACTTGTTTTTCCGACGAATGTTCCTTTTTCTTAAATGGCGTAGTAAATCGTCATAACTGCCGATATTGGTCCGATTCTAATCCCAGAATTTATCATGAGGTTCATACACAGCAGCCACAAAAATTAGATGTTTGGGCTGGTATTTTTCGCGATCATTTAGTTGGTCCTTTTTTCTTACCTGGAAATTTGACCGGTGAAATGTATTTGGAGTTACTGGAAGACGCCATAGATCCTGCATTAACAGCCATAATTGAAAATCAGAATGATCGGCGATACATTGCGAATAGGTTGATGTTCCAACAGGATGGTGCCACACCATATTACGCATTACGTGTTCGACAATATTTAGATCAGACGTTTCCAGATCGATGGATTTGTAGATGAGGTGCCATTGAATGGTCCCCAAGATCGCCAGATTTATCACCTTTGGATTTCTTTATGTGGGGTCATTTAAAAAGCAAAATCTATGCTACTCAGCGAACATCATTAGAAGACCTGCGACAAAGAATTGTGAATGAGTGCCTTCAAATTACTCCTCAAACATTGCAAAATGTGCGGCAACGTTTTGAGCAAAATCTTTATTATTGCATGGAGAGTCATGGTGGCCATTTTCAACATTTACTTGCCTAAATTACTTTGCTGCCAAATGTATTGATCTCCACTAATGATGATGTATTACTTTTATTTAAGCTTTAAATCAATAAATCTTCAATGATGTTCTGTACATTAATTTTATATCATTATAAAGGGAATTGAAAGACCTTTAAAATAAGGTATCATTCGACCCCCCTTTCCGTTTAAAATTTTGGAGGTGGTGTCACCCCCGCTTAGGGGGCTGCACGTGCTAACGTGATTTTTTGTCAAGCGGTCAGCATTGCCAAAAAACAGGCATCGGGAAATTTTGTAGCGCAACGGCAGTCTGCTATCTGCAAGTGGGCCAAGCAGATTGAAAGGAACTTCTCGCTGAGTAGCCTTCCACCTACCAAGAAGGAACGATTGTAACCGATTCAAAGGTCAAGGCGAGTGTGCTTCCCAGATTGCCGGCAACGCGGTGATGAGCTTCACTACTAAGCCAGCTTCTATCTCTTTCTATGATATGTGTCTATGCACACTTCTCTCTCGAGTGGTCGGACAAATTTGGTTCTCAGTGTATGGATTTCTC